ATCTGGAGAAAATTGTGAACCGATAAGAGTTTCCTCAATCTAAAAATAGCAGAGAATCATGTAGTGCTCCAACCACAAGCAGCTGGCTAACAGAAGGGAACAAAAATCATAATATAGAACATGAATTAATAGCAACCATCCCATTTATTAAATTATGTTTTCTAAAGGTATAGGGTTAGTCTTTTAAGTAATGACTGTAGGTTCCTTACAATAAAGCTTGCTAATTATAAAAAATGTTTTTAAAAACATTAAACAGAGGGATAACATGGGGAGCCAAAGGTTTCCTGCCACTGTGTAATCGTCTATCTTCCATACTTCATACAATAGCTTTTTTAACACCCTCCGCCTCAGTAATTGGTCCAATCATCAGTCTTGTGAGCAGGCAGAGACGCCCTTTCATCATTTTTCATTCAAGCTGAGTCAGTATCAATCATGTGACAGTCCAGAGATGGATAAGCAATCTAATAACGTGAGCTAAAATAACTTCACTCACTCAATCCTTGACCCTACAACACAAGCATTCCGTTTGGATAAAAGCTGCGGTTTTCACATAAATGGATTTTCCCTTTAGGATCAATTGCAGAGGAAATATTTGAACTGTAAACGGCCACAAAAATCTGTCACTAATGAATAATTGCTGTTGTCAGGGATTTATGCATTGCCTTCTCCTCTGCTTGAGCGAGCCGTCTTCTGAGACTATTTTCAACTGTAGACTGCTTAAGCCAAATAAAAGGCGAGGCAAGCAGGTTGGTAGAAGTGTTTAGGAATTGCCTTTGGCGTAAGGAAGCTTCTCAGCATGTTAAGTACTAAAGTCTTTGCATTTGCTGTTTTTCGGGGAGAAAACAGGACAATGAGGAAAGGGATTAGGCATCAAAATCAGGAGTTGAAAGAAAGACAAATGACAAAAATAGGAAGATCTGCAGTAACCCCTATTCTGCTTAGGCAATGCTTCAGATTGAGAACCCTTTTTATTTCTACTTCTATGTTACCTGCTTTGATATCAATTATTCCTGCAAGTGTTAATGGTTTAGAAAGTAATTAATGTCTAATTAGCAAATCAACATAACCTAGATGAACTCCATTGCCTCAGATGGATTTGCAGTATCATCTTATTTCCACAAACAGAGGGATATAGTAAAGGAACGTAGTTAAAGAATGAGGAAAGAGTGGTCATGACAGCCAGTGTTATTTTGAATTTAGTCCAAATCAACACAAATCTCAGCTTCCAGGATTTCAGTCAACATATCAATATTTAGCTCATTACACCTCTAATCTGCAGCCAGGAGAACCCGACATTACTCCTCTAAACACTACAGGGAGTTTCCACTAATGATCAAAATGAGAAAAAAAAAACATGAAGAGCCCTCATTAATTACTTTAATTAGGCTCTCTAATTTATAATAAACACCTTATAAAAACAGAGTCAACCTTGTTGGATGGAAGCAGAGAAATGTTGATCATCTTTTTAACTTCAAATGACGAACAGTCTAAAGAGGCCATGTGTATTGGATACTTGCAGGGAGAAATTAGAGGTGCTGAAAAGGAAGCAATGAGGAAAAAACTGTTTTATTCATTAAGAGACAACAAACTAGATTTGATTTTACTTTTTACGTCATTGTGTTGTCTGTCGCTATGTATAAAGTTGCTGCTATACTGCAATTTCCCAGCTTGAGATAAAGTATCTATCTATCTATCTATCTATCTATCTATCTATCTATCTATCTATCTATCTATCTATCTATCTATCTATCTATCTATCTACACTATATTGCCAAAAGTATTTGCTCACCTGCCTTGACTCACATATGAGCTTAAGTGACATCCCGTTCCTAATCCATAGGGTTCAATATGACGTCGGTCCACCCTTTGCAGCTAGAACAGCTTCAACTCTTCTGGGAAGGCTGTCCACAAGGTTTAGGAGTGTGTTTATGGGAATTTTTGACCATTCTTCCAGAAGCGCATTTGTGAGGTCGCACACTGATGTTGGACGAGAAGGCCTGGCTCTCAGTCTCCGCTCTAATTCATCCCAAAGGTGTTCTATCGGGTTGAGGTCAGGACTCTGTGCAGGCCAGTCAAGTTCATCCACACCAGACTCTGTCATCCATGTCTTTATGGACCTTGCTTTGTGCACTGGTGCACAGTCATGTTGGAAGAGGAAGGGGCCAGCTCCAAACTGTTCCCACAAAGTTGGGAGCATGGAATTGTCCAAAATGTCTTGGTATGCTGAAGCATTCAGAGTTCCTTTCACTGGAACTAAGGGGCCAAGCCCAGCTCCTGAAAAACAACCCCACACCATAATCCCCCCTCCAACAAACTTTACACTTGGCACAATGCAGTCAGACAAGTACCGTTCTCCTGGCAACCGCCAAACCCAGACCCGTCCATCAGATTGCCAGATGGAGAAGCGCGATTCGTCACTCCAGAGAACGCGTCTCCACTGCTCTAGAGTCCAGTGGCGGCGTGCTTTACACCACCGCATCCGACGCTTTGCATTGCACTTGGTGATGTATGGCTTGGATGCAGCTGCTCGACCATGGAAACCCATTCCATGAAGCTCTCTGCGCACTGTTCTTGAGCTAATCTGAAGGCCACATGAAGTTTGGAGGTCTGTAGTGATTGACTCTGCAGAAAGTTGGCGACCTCTTCGCACTATGCGCGTCAGCATCCGCTGACCCCGCTCCGTCAGTTTACGTGGCCTACCACTTCGTGGCTGAGTTGCTGTCGTTCCCAAACACTTCCATTTTCTTATAATACAGGTGCTGGTCATAAAATTAGAATATCATGAAAAAGTAGATTGATTTCAGTAATTCCATTTAAAAAGTGAAACTTGTATATTATATTCATACATTACATACAAACTCATATATTTCAGATGTTTATTTTGTTTAATTTTGATGATTACAAATGACAACAAATGAAAATCTCAAATTCATCATATCAGAAAATTAGAATATTGTGAAAAGGTTCAAAATTGATGGCCCCTGGTACCACACTCTAATCAGCTAATTAACTCAAACCACCTGCAAAAGCCTTTAAATGGTCTTTCAGTCTAGTTCTATAGGCTACACAATCATGGGGAAGACTGCTGACTTGACAGTTGTCCAAAAGACGACCATCGACACCTTGCACAAGGAGGGCAAGACACAAAAGGTCATCGCTAAAGAGGCTGGCTGTTCACAGAGCTCAGTGTCATTTGTCATTTGTAATCATCAAAATTAAACAAAATAAACATCTGAAATATATGAGTTTGTATGTAATGTATGAATATAATATACAAGTTTCACTTTTTAAATGGAATTACTGAAATCAATCTACTTTTTCATGATATTCTAATTTTATGACCAGCACCTGTACAGCTGACAGTTGACTGTGGAATATTTAGGAGCGAGGAAATTTCACGACTGGATTTGTTGCACAGGTGGCATCCTATCACAGTTCCACGCTGGAATTCACTGAGCTCCTGAGAGCGACCCATTCTTTCACAAATGTTTGTAAAAACAGTCTGCATGCCTAGGTGCTTGAATTTATACACCTGTGGCCATGGAAGTGATTGGAACACCTGATTCCAATAATTTGGATGGGTGAGCAAATACTTTTGGCAATATAGTGTATCTATCTATCTATCTATCTATCTATCTATCTATCTATCTATCTATCTATCTATCTATCTATCTATCTATCTATCTATCTATCTATCTATCTATCTATCTATCTATCTATCTATCTATCTATCTATCTATCTATCCATTAAGCATTAATTTACACATTAATGGCAGCAGTAACAGCAGACTCATTAACCATCATTTTGTGCAAATTGTGGATGCAAAAATACATATGCTAAATGGAAACACTGCAATTTCGAAAAAAAGTAAAAAGTCACGTTTTTAAATAAAGAAAATTTAAGCTTAAATGAAATGGGCGGTTTTTTCAGTTTTATTGAAATTCATCTATTTTGCTAAACATATATTGCATCACACAAAATTTTGACTTGACTTATATGTATAAATGACCAGCAGTAGCTGGAGGTCGATGGCATCCACTAGACCCATTGCTGAATGATGGATATATGTCTCAGGTGTTTACATCCGCCACTGCCATGTTGTTTTGAAAAGTTACTGCCTGAACAAATGTATTTATGTGTATCTTTAGTTGTATTAGATATTTAATGGAAATACCACAACTGCAAAACTTTGTACTTTCAAAATACGTACAAAATAAACAGTTTTGCGCATATTTGTAATGGAAATGCAGCTACTCACACTGAACTGATATTTCAGTGTTTTTGATAACCATTTTCTTGTAGCTCAGTATCTTCTTTAATTATATCAGTTTTAGTTAACTTTAAGTAGCTTAGTCAAGAGTTGATGTTTGAAATATATTTAACATACAGTGAATCATTGATAATTCTTAAATTTTGAACAGTTGTTATAAATTCATTACATATTGTGCTATTTTGATAATGCCAGACCTTACATCACTCTTTCAACTCTTGAAAATGAACTAAATTATTTGATTAAATATTAGATAAGTGTTCACCTGCATTAAACAAATCATATAATCTCATTATTCTATATTGTATATGTTCTCATCATTAAAGGTAGAGTGGAGGATGTTCTTTTTCCGGGTGAATCATTAAAATAAGTGGTCCTCCTAATTGTCACTCATTCTGGTGATGTGTTTAAATAAGGCCGTCCTACGTGCTCCTAATTAGTAATTTTCACTTACCGGTGGTGAGTCTGACATAGTGAAAAAATTACAAATCTTTTTTTGAAAAGTAAGCTTGTTTGACCAACGCAAACAGCAACTTTTAAACAGAGCGTGCAAAAGGAGAAATGGGCTTGTGCACGCTCTCACATGCATTTAATAGGCGTTCCCTGGCGGAAGCGGGTACAGTTTGTGCATGTGCAAGTGGAGAGGGCGGGTCTCTTCAGAAATTCATGAAAATCCTCCACTATACCTTTAAGTGCCCAACTTAGAGGAGCTAAAGAAATACGCATGGATTAGTTTTTTAGAATTTATTTGCAAAAACAAAATAAAAACAATTTCAGATCATGTTGGAAACATTTTAAGAGGTATAGCAACATCTGTAAGGCACTGGATCAGACTTTCCTCCAACTAACTACACTACTGCGTCCGTTCTACTAAAGGTGTCAGTCTAAAGGTCAAAAACACACATGACGTTAACTGGTAGGGAGAACACTCCAGTAGGATACTCTGTTTGAGTCTAGGGTGGATCCCCCTGGAGATTTGCCACCAAAGGCTGTTTTTTGAACTCAGCATGCAGCAAAGAGCAACCTGCTGTCTCGGGTCCTGATTCCATAAAGGCAGACGGAACAAAGCTTTGACACCTACTCTCTCTTTAGTAAACTTGCCCACTTGTTTATCCACAGGAACAAACTAAACTAATTTTATATTTAAATAAAAATGTTTACTGTCATTTGGGATGAAATGGGTTTCACTTGTAGAAAACTGAAAAAATAGGTACAATAGTTATATTACAAATATAGGTATATTACATATATTACCCTGTGAATTTATTAAATCCTCACCTTTAACACCAACTTAAAACTATCATTTTAATATTTCAGAAATTCATCAGTGATGTATATAGCTTCATTTCATTAGAGGTGGGGGGAAAAGAAACTGAAATTATTTTATTTACAACTTTTTTTGAATTCCAAAACAAAATACATTAGGAAAAAAATTATATAGTACTTTTAAAACAATGAATATCAATAAGACCAGTGGAAGGATAGAAAATCACATCAAGTTAAATGTAATGCCATTAGGAAAAGGAAAACATCCAATCAATTTCAGTCAAAACACAACATTGTAATGAAATAAATACATACAAAGCAGGACTGCATTTTTAATCCAAACTTCTTTTTAGCTACAATTTTATTCTCATACTTTTAACTTAATTTCTGAAGAAAAAAAAGAATCTCAAACTAAGTAGTATGGGTTTAAAACCAAGCTACATGACAAACATGGAAGATCTATGGCAACCTTTGCATTGTCAATAAAAATGGAGCTCAATCAGCTGCTGTATTACCCACAGAAACAAAATAAAGAACCAAGCAGCATTCTAACAGAGTTTGGCTTTGAACAGGTTGCTCCTTCTTTATTTCTAGGTGTCAAGTATTAAGAGCATTTTTTGTTCATATATAAATATTACAAAGACCAGAAACCATAAACATTTCCAGAGTAAAACAAAAACATAAAGAAATAATTAAAATGCCCAATACCATTTGGATTTTCCTCTGAGAACAAAAAAAAGTAAGTGTAAAGGAATTCAGATGTATAAATCAAGGCAAAATGTTTATTTATCTGTGTTTCTATGCCTAATAATTCCATGTTTCTCTTGTGAATGTAGTTTATTAATCCCCTTCCACATTTTGATACTTTTATTTCTCTCCTTGTAGTTTAACATGGGATTAATATAGACAGCCTATTATTAAGTTATTGATATTATTGAAATCCAATAAACCTGAACCAGTTAAAATGAAAAGGCTAAATACACGTTGAAGGCATATTAATATGGATATGTTTTTGATATGCTTTATAAAATATAAATCATGAACTTAAACCACCTATCTTAAAGCTAATAGTAATATGAATTGTCATTTTTGAGCCTTTTAATTATTTCTGTTGATTATGGTAGTCCTTTATTTTCCATCTCACTTTAAGGCATAGTGATTCTTCAGCCTGGTGAGCTTAAGGGCATTCTGTGGGTGAATGTTGGCCGGACTCAGCAGGCTCCACAGAATGTCTGAGCTGTCTGTAGATGAAGGAGTAGAGGCTGACATCAGGGCGCCGACTGAGGCTGTTCCTACAAACTGAATTGTAGTACTGCCCCAGGAGATCGTACACCTCCCCTGTGGAGGAAACAGGAATATTGTATATCAGAATAATTTTTTTTTTGCTTGTTTGTGTGCACAAACTGGGTTTGACTTGCCTGATTAACATGAGCCAATTAGTCAGTTTCAAATTTATTTTTCATGGGCATTAATGAAGTATTAGTTTGTGGCGTTTGATGGGCTGCAGCACGATGGAGTAAAAAAAGTACTTGAAATGTTTGTATACATTGAGCTTCTGAAAAAGCTTTAACTAAGATTTGTTATCTGAGATTATGAAGCAAATAATCAAAACACAAATAAAGATAACATCGTAAAGATGGAAAGAACTATCTCATTAGGGCTAAAACCACAGGCTGTGGGACTCGTATCAATGAAGAGAGGAAGAAAAAAGATAGACAGGATGTGTGGCTGCCTCACCAACACTGATGTTCCTCTGGGTGAGGAAGGAGTGCATCTTGTGGACATCTGTCATGAGCTGGCTGTCACCAAAGGTGAAATAAGCGACGTCTCGGCCCGCCTCAGCAGCTGCCAACATCTGGATCAGAGCTGGAAGGAAAGAAGACCGTTAAACCTCACAGAGAATTTGAGAACGTGTGTCAGGGCTCTACATGTGCAGACGAAGATTTCAATTAGGATATGTTAAAAGTCTGGAAATATAAAAGAGGAAAACGAATTACAATATAAAGCGTTTTAAAGAAAAACAAAAAGATATATAAAAGACTTGAGCAGTGCTTCAGTAGTTGATGTTTCCATTACAACTAGTCTTTATCCCTTAGAGTAAAAGGTGAGTAATCAGCGGATTAGTGGCCACCCCCACTGAAGACTCTGAATCCCTGACTGGTCCCGGAAAGCTGTGAATATTTTAAGAGATCGGAAATATGTCTGCTGATTAATTAAAGTTGGGAAAGTGCCAAAGTAATGAGCACAACTGAATCAATGCTGAACGCGTCTATCAGCAGTTTTTCTCGCGACTCTGCTTCCACAGCTGTTCTCAAAAACTATTTGTTAATTAAACAACGGGTGGCAATGAGAGGCCAGTGATGATAATCCCTAATGGAAGACAAACCCTAAAGTATAAGGTGAGTATCCATATGGCAGTTAATGAAAAACACAGAAGGAAATTAAGCTTATTACACAGATTTATGTTGTTACTGTAATACTATCTAATAGGTACTAAGGGTGGAACGGTTCACAAAATCCACGGTTCGGTTCACGGTTTCGTGGTCACGGTTTCCGGTTCGGTATATGCTGATTGATACACCGAAATCCCATAAAAATTAATGAAATTAATGGAAAAAATGAATGAATTGTAATTATTTTTAATGATCCGCAGAAACCCTGGATCATTTCTGCATGTTTTGCTGCTTGGAATTTAATCATCTGGCGCATGCCCTCTATGATCTCCAAGGAACTCAGAGCGGAGTGGACGGGAGCCACAGCGGAGGCTGTAGGCTTTGCTTTGTGCAGGCGGTCTGGAGCGCAGCAGAGCGCTGACGGAGTATGTGGGATTTCGGGGTTAGCATGACATGTTGGTCATGTTGCTGTTAGCATAAACAAAACGTGTTGCACAATGCTTGCACACTGTTGCACATTTATCCACAGCTTTCTTTCCGCCGTCATCGTAGGTCACTCTAAATGCAAAGTGGGCCCATACAGCAGACCTATAAAGTGCTGCTGGCGCGTCTTCCAACTCCTGTTCTTTCCCACTCGCCATACACACACAATTCTCCACAACAACTGATTTTTTTCTGCTACACCCGGCTACACTGCTTCGCTTCTTCTTCTTCATGTTTACTACTGGTGGTTGGCTTTGGTCGCAGTACCGCCACCTTCTGCTCTGGAGTGTACACGCTTCGCCTATGAGTAAAAGGAGCATGAACCGAACGCAACACACGCGAACCGAACCGAGACAGTCGAACTGAACGGTTCGGACGGTTTTCGTAAACCGTTCCATCCCTAATAGGTACAAGTTAGAATAGCACCCAAAGTGTAATAGAGTTCCAGGTGAGATGCTTCAGCTCCTAACAAACCAAATGAACCAGTTATAGTCTGAATTCTGGGTAGGTGAGCTGGATCTAGAAGCACTGAATCCAGCCAAATACTGCTATATGACTGCATGACAGGGCTGACCTTTTTTTTTTCCCAGACAAGTGGAAGAAACTGGAGAAAAGTTTTTTTTCATATTTCTTTTTCAATTTCTTCCAGAAGAAAGTCCTTGTAATATATTATATTTTGAAGAACTCTGTTAGTTCCACTGAAAAGTTAACTCACCATAGCCACCAGGCTACATAAGGAGAAATCTTATACACACAGTGACACAAATTAAGAATTTATATAACTTGCAAAGTAACGACTGTGTTGAAACGGTGCATTTACGCATACAGAACGGCTACAGTATAGCACCCTGGTACCCTGGTTTATAGACATTAAACCCCACCTCATGGTTATTAATGGATTTGGGCCTGCTTAAGACAAAATATTCACCAAAAGAAACAAAACTTTCCAGTTAATTTGACCTTTTAAGTCTCTTCTGGAAGAAACTGGAACAAACCGTTTCTTCCGAATGGGAAAATAACATGGAAACATCCAGGAAAAAAACACCATCCAAAAGAAACGTCCAACCCTGCAATATTGGAGTTGTTTAAACTACAACAATAGGATTAACCTTCATCGTAAATAGTAGCACTGTCTGTTTTGTAATTTATAACCAATCATATTGTAATTTCCACCAGCCTTATCACACTTGTTTTTTTGTTTTTTTTTTAAAGATTTTTCAGACCTAGTCTATACTTCTTCCTACTTTTTTGCACAAATCTCTCAACAATGTGACCATCTATGTTACTTGTACATCTTTTACTTCTAGTTTTTCTTTCCACTATATTTTCCATTAATTAGCATGGATATAATAGTTTATGAAAGCTAAATATAAAAAAATAGCAGAAATAAACACTTCAAATACATCACTGATTAAAATAAATGTCTATAAGTGTTTCACCTTTTGCTTTATATCACTGAATTAAAAAAACTTTTTAATTATATTGTTTATTGAAATGCAACTCTATGTATGACGCATGATGTAGATAAAGGGTGAAATCCACTAAGGTAGTGAAAAGCAAAGCTATTCCTTTTGAAACTACCTGAATGGTGATGTGAATAGGCACACACAGAAGGCTGGAACTGATTGATGGGCTCAAGCAGGCGATCAATTTCACTATTAATGCAACATATTAACTTTGGCGTTTGATCAATAGGAGGAAGGAGAAAAAATATGCCTTAAGTGAAAGCACGCATTCCCAGAAGACAAATGGATGCCTGCGCTGGAGCGCTTTTTAAAGTGAAATTTATTCTGCTACATCCAGGAAAGAGAATCCAATTAGAATGATGATCTGAGCACTTGTCTAGTCAAAATCCACTGACGTCAAGGTTACGCAAGAGATACGCAAGCCTCACCTTTGAGACGTGTGTCACCTCCAAAAACACCACAGCCCCAGTTTCCTGTGGCTACTGCAGCGAGGTTTCGACTTTCCTTTTCAGGCTGAGAAAAGCCACAGTAAGCCTAAAGGGTAGAAAAAAAAATAATGGTGTAAGACGATAAATAAGTGCTGGTCACACATAAATGAATATTACTCAACCTACTGAACTTTTTCTTATGTAAATTTGAGACGCATTTAAGGTGTGTAGTAAAGATTTAACACATAATTTAAAGAGTTGAATAATTTATAAATAAAAAAATTTAGATGGCCAGAAAGAATAGTTTGAATTTGATTTTGGTTTGGTAAATGTACGCCAACAGTGAGCATGATTATTATAATATTATGTAACAGGAACTGCCATATATGAATGTATGAAGGGAACCAAGAGAATCAATCAGGCAGTAGCTGGAGCATCCAACGGTCGTATCGATGCCTTAGAAAGAAAACTCTTTGGACTATTACAGTATAAGTCAAACATAATTTGCCAAACATATTTATCAAATGGTTCCATATAAAGGAATTTTATGAAGTTATCAAGTGTTTCTTTTAAAATTAAGCTAAATAAAACTAAGTAAAAATGTAAATAAAGGGAAAAAACAAAAAGGAAATCGAATCACTAATCCAGTGTTCAAATATTACCACCAAACTACGGGTCCCTCTGATAAAGATATGAAACAATCCTTAAAATAAATGAATCCTTCCCTGCAGCAAGATTTAACAGAGAAAAAATCTGTGACCCTTTAATCTGAGTACATTTATTAATAGGTTGAAAGAAAATTCATGGTAAAAAAAAAAAAACAACAGTGGTATAATTCTTGTGGTTTGTGTTGATAAAATAAGGGCTGTCCTTTTACACTTTAATTCTCGCCTTTAATATAAAACAAGATTTTAACAGTCAGTAGAGGGAACACTAAAAAAATGGATGACCCTTCTTTCCACAATTTAATGATCAGTGCTGTTGGTAAGACCAGTTAGTAAATCACCTTCCTTTATAGGTTAATTTCTTACAGCCGCCTAATTTTGATATTAAAAAAGATAAAATTCAATAAAGTACTCTAAATATAATTTGGTTCGTTAGTAGCATTGAAACTAAGAAAATATTCCACTCCATTTTAACACAAGAGGTTGAGTCATTTATCTTGCTTCCAATCCTTTTAGAGTTATGAACTTCAAAATGTAGCTTTTCAGAAAATGTACACAAATCTAAAAGACTTGCATGCAAATCTGAGGCATTAGATGCGACATAACTCATGGGTTAAAAAGCAACTAAAGCAAAACATTAACAAGACTGAATATTTATTTTAATATGAAAGTGAAATGCAAAATGAAAATAAATTGCAAGAGCCCGTCCTTCCTTCTGACCAGAGATACATTCTTCTTGGAAAGGGCAGATGTGACATTTAACTGAACAATATTCGAAACAGGATTGATCTATGCGTTTGTGCATTCTTCACCCTGATGTCAGAACTGTCAAAGTGCTTCATGCTTTCTGACAGTAGACCTGACAACATCAACATCTTGATTTTTTTCCCCACAACAAATGGCCATAAGTCCTTCAGGAAGCTTAAAAATAAATACACAAACGGAACGTTATACGAATATGATAACTGTGACGGTTATACTGATGTATCGGCAATCCCATTTAAATTAATGTTAAATCATTCTGGGTCTGACGTATAACAATAATTGAATTTCGTTTTATTATTTAAATGTATCAGTAATTGTGAAACGTTACCCACTAACTACACATTAGATAAACATCTAATCCATTCATAAAAACAAAATGAGGATAAAATAAAAACAGGGTTTATCAGTACTGAAGCTTGTTTTAGCGCATGGATATAAGTTTTCCATATTTTATCTAAACTGCTGCACATGAATATGAAATTATTATAAGCTGCATGTCGCAAAAAGAAAACAAACTATAAAAAAAATTGAGGCAAGCAAAAAATAAAAGTTAAGTCACCTTATTAAGTTCTCTGTTGATTTTGTCGCAGTGAAATTGCTCGAGAAAGTTCCTGAAGAGAAGTGCATCAATGGCCACGATCTCTGTGCATCGCCTTCCCCAATCATCTCTGAAAAGAACCAAAAGATTTATTCATTTATTTTATTTTTTTTGCAATTTGTTAAATTTAATCTCTAGAAAAGGAATGAAAAAGGAAACAGAAGCCATTATGTTTCATTTATGCCATTTATACCTAACTCTGACGTTTACTTTAACCATTATCAGAATATTCCTAACCCTAGCCTGAAGTTAAATCACACCATGCCTCTAAACTGACTCTTTAAGGTTAAAAATGGGGTCCACCACATTAGAATCCACCTTTCCTCCCAATAAGGACTGTTGGTCCTCAGTAGCTCAGTACATATACAAAAAATTGTCCAAAATATATACATACAGACAAAATATATACAAGAACAGACTAAGTTGTGTGTAGTAATCTGTTGAACTTTTTTATTTTAATGCCTTTAAACCATGGGACTACTACAAATTTTTATTAGTTATGTATTTAATTGTATTGAGGATAATGGCAATAAAGATTATTTTCTTATTAAAACATGCAGTTTTCGATCTATGTGAATGATTTCAAAGGAAATCAACAAAAATAACCTAAAAAATAAAGATTTAAGACAATCTTAAATGTATTTATTTCTTGATAGGCTTAAATTTCTTAAATTTAAGCCAATCATGAAGATTGTTCATCTTCATTGTGTTCATAGGGAATTTATGTGAGACACAAATACAAGATAAAAGTGCGTAAAAAGTGCATCACTTTTAAGATTTTCATTTCTAATACGTTTGCAAATTTTGATTTCTTTCTCAACTATAAGCGTCTTTTATTTGTTTATCACATGAACATCCAATTCGATACATCGAGGTTTGTCATTATAAAATGAGAAAAGTTGAAAGGATATGAATATTCCTGCAAAGCAAAGTAACAAAAAATGGACAGTTAACAGATGAAAATCTTTTTGGTATATAATCAGAGCCCCAAACAGATTGTCAAAACTGTCATAAAAGAAAACTTCAGTAATTTTCCCTAAAATTGTTTATTCCCTATAAATGTCCATGTTAATGCACTTATAATAACATGAAGGATGATCTAAAATATATAATAAACTGAGTATTACAGAATCCAGATATAACAGATACCTTGGAGTTGTGTCTTGGTGAGAGCCGGCCCACTTGTAGGTCTGAGAGTAACCGGTGTATTTACTATACTGCTGTGTTCCTGAAAGAAGGCAAATTTACCGTAGTTAGAGCTCATTGCTTAAAAAGCTGAAACAAGCAAATCTACTTCATTATATCTCAGAACATTTTTTATATGTGCTAATGGTTCAAACAAAAGGGATTCCACACAAAGAGAGTGAGAAAAAACCATCAGTTTTAGTTTACTGTAGACTAAATGTTCCAACATAACAAATCCCAGACCACTCAGGTCTTCTACATCCAGCCTAATCTGTCACCCAGAACTAGAACCAAACATGGAGAAGCAGCATTTAGTTCCTATGCTCCACTGATCTGGAACAAACTTCCAGAAGGCTGCAAAAGAGCTGAAAGCCTGAGTTCCTTTAATTCAAAGTTAAATACCCACTTGTTTAGAGCTAACATTGACTGTTGAAGTTAAACTGCTAACTAAGGTGTTATTAGTTTAATGTTGTCATTTAACCCTTTTACTTTCCTTATGTTTTTTCTTTACTTCCTTTTGTTCTGCTTTTTTGTAGTCCAATTGATTTATTTTATTTTTTGTGTTTGCCTTTATTTTTATTCTATTTTATTATCTAATTCACTTAAAGCATTTTGAATTGTCCATGTACTGAATCGTGTTATACAAATAAACTTGCCTTGCCTTAAATGAGCCAGGTTTCTTGACACAACTTTTTTTTTTATTATTATTATTAAAACTATCACTTAGATATCTCAACATTAGGATAACCACAAACTCCATAGAGCTGGAAGGATTTCTATTTACTGTACAAGAAAATGACATTTCACTGGCTCCTGCTATTTTTGCATTTCAACAAAAAATCTTTAATAAAATGATGCTTTTGGTTTATGCGTGAGCCAAATGTGCTCTTAAATGGCATTTGTAGAAGGAGGTAGATAAGCTCTGCATTTGAAAAGAACAAAGAAAACATTAAAACGATTTCATAAATAATAACAATCAGCAGGTCTAAATAAGCAGCTCCTAAAGGTTGTTTTATTCATGTGCAAATGATTCTGAAAAAGAAAGTCTCTCATTTGTCCTGGACCAGACAGAAGGTCAGAGGCGTATCTCAATGGCATGCCAACTCAAAATTTATATATTTTTTAGTTTTACTAACACACAGCATGTAAAGTCTAACTAAACTGCAAAAATTATGCTATTAGAATATTGTGTTTGTGTTTTATTACCATTATTTTAACTGGTTTCTACCCTACAGATGGAAAAAGAAATGCAGTCTCCTTCCCACTTTCCCGTGATCACTGCCTTTAAGCATAACATCTTCTGGTCAGTACCGTCTTAAACCATGTGACTTCTCCCTGATACTATAAATAGTTTTGACCGTCACAATGGCAGCCAGATATCTAGCAATCAAACTAAATTCAATTAGCCAGAGCACTTTGGCAAATTTCAATGCAAAGCCACAACCCATCAGACTCTGTCACTGAATGCCAAGACCTCTAGCAGAGAAATATGATTTACCGCAGCGCAACCCGGTGCATCCAAGGCTTGGAGTTTTACAACGGGAACAAGAGATATAGGCTGAGTCTAATAAAGATGATGGAATGGAAGAGTCCATTAGCGGAGAAAGTCTTGGCCAGGTCTTCCAGCTATAATTAATTCTGTGCTCGAGTAATACGGTTAAGTGGAGCAATGGGAGAAGAGGCAGGCACAAAGTCTGAAGGTGACTCGGCCAAACGGGAAGCTGCGGTATGTCTGGAGATTGCAGAGACAACAAAAGTGATGCCTCACTTTCTATTTCAGTCCATCCCCTTTTCTATGTGTCTGCAGATATATTATTGTGTAAACAGAAAGAGATATTCTTTAAAAACAACGACAGTAAAAGCCAGAATTAAATGGATATATTCGCAATAAAGATTGATACGTCACTAAAACGATTTTAAAAAGTTTGTATCACACACTGCAAAAACAATTTTAATCTAAATCTGAATTGAATTGAGGAGATACGTGAGACACTTTGCTAATGGAACCAGACAATTTACATTCAAAATAAGAAAAAAACAGTTGCATTGTATAAGTGCATATCATTTAATTATCTTATTTCAAGAGTAAAAATACTATTTCAGTTAAAAAATCATCCTATTTACCTACTCAAATTAAGAGCAAATACACTTAATTCAAGAAATGTTTACTTATATCAAGATCATTTTTGCAGCAACTGCTAAAGTAAAACAGAAAAGCCTAAAACGGTAGAAAGGTCAGAAAATATAAAAAATGACAACATTTTAAAAACATATTTATAAAAGATTACTCTTAGTTCTCAAACATGTCGATTTCTTGTTAAAACAGCATACACTGATTATCAACATGTTGGTGGATAATCAGGTTACCCCATTTAGCTTCAGCTAAACTCAAATGAGAGAAAGTATGATTTTTTTTTTCCCACTGACAGGATGATTTCAAAAATTAGCCAAAACAAGTCAATTATACCACAGATGGACAGAGAAATTGGTTGGTGGTGTCCGAAATAGCGGAAATCGGTTCCTAGTTTGTCATGTTTAAACTGCGTCAATTAAAAATACAAGATTCTTCTAACTGTTAATAATGTTAATTATACCACCATTTAATATATATAATATTTTTTCCTCAAACACGAATATCTAGGAGGGTAGAAAATATACTGATATCCACTCAAACAAAACAGGAATAGGATAAAAACTATTTGCTCGTATAGGACATTAAATATCAAGTTAGAGTTTCTGTTGCTATATCAGTGTGTGTCACTTTCATTAGGCTTGTTTTTCAGCAGCCTTTATGAATTTAGTTTATTGCTGACTAGAGATTGATTTGTTTTTTCAAATATTACTTGTAAATTTCATTTTGTGAAAGTTGTTCAACAAGTAAAGTCTTAGAAATAAAACTAAAATCTTATAAATTGAAAAACATGAAAGTGAGTTATTATTACATGAATCTGTAAGCTGATCATTTTGTTAAACTGATCCTTTTGATCTAAATTTAAAATTAATTTCCCAGTTTGAATTTATGTCACAAGATGACAGGTACATTTATGCTGTTAGTAGAATCCCCCGATCTTTCAGTTCAATTAAGCTTCTCCAAACATTTCAACCAGACAAAAAAAAAAAAGTGGTGAAAATCAGCCTCCTGCAGAGGGAATCCTGATGTCTGACCTCTTGTTGTTGGAGCTACTCTGCTTTCTGACAGCCCTGTTTGTTGCAAACATCCAACTGTGAAGTAACGTCTGAAAGAGTTATTTAAGAGCAAGGATGAACTACGCAATCAAGTCTGCAGAGTCTTCATCTTCTGACTACCTCTTAAAGCCAATCAAAAGAAAACAGGTGAGCAGCAGGGAAAGGATGGAAAGCTATAAACAACTGGAGGAAAGATTAGCAACAACGCTCTGAGCCACCTTAGGACACCGAATGGGGTAAATTGAAGCCGTAAACATCAAACCTGATTTTAAAGAACATTGATTTATTGCCAAAAAATATTTAATTGAATTAAAGGATGCATGAAGAGAAACCTAAAAGAACTTAAATGCCATCTCCTTTTGCAGATATTTTAATACATTCCTTTAAGGTAAAGCCCAATAATAGTAATGTCTAACTGTAGCCAAAGCAAAGAGTTTGCATCTCTTTAAAGGCATGAAGAAAAAATTAATCACTCATGACACTATTAGAGATGCAGGCCTTTAACTAAATCAACTGACAATGAAAAGCATAAATTAAAGTTAAAAATGTGGCAGGTAATATTACGTGTTCTCATGCATCATTACCTCATGTGTGATACAATCCATGTCTTCAATAATTGATTTAAAAATGCTGTTCTAACCTGATATATCCAATCAGAGGTTATTTGAAAGACTAGAGGCCTACTCAGCATATGACCTATTCTTCTGTCAATTTCAATAATATGAAGGCAGTAAAACATTTCTCCATTTGATTGATCCTTTCACCACATCGCTTCTTTATACAACTGATTTGCTGGAATTAATGGGAAAAGTGGGTTAACAGGATATGAGTGCAAAACAGCTGCAACAAAATGAAAGTGGTTGCACTGATTTGGAAATAGTGTGTTTGCTTTAAAAGCTGGGGGATAGTTTTGCCATTGTCACCCACCTGTGATAATGAGACACTCATAATCATCCAGGGCTTCAGTGAAGAGACGAGAAGCGATGAGCTCGGGGTTTATGAGAAAACGGATTTCCTCCTGAACAAGTCCAGCACTGATGACTCCTCCTCCAACAAACTTGTTGGCAAAATCCACCTGTAAAATAAAGCAAGATAAAATGAAGACAATGTCAGGGCTCCTGCCGCCCCTGCTCATTTTTTGAGTTGGTTTGACTTTGAAGTAGAAAATGAGCTAAGATAAAAACAGTTTCTCAAACTTTGGGAGCAAGACATGTCAAGAAATTGTGTTTGCCCTTCCTGTTTTATTTTTGACAGAATCTATGACAGGTTTATTGGGCAGGTTGGCCCGAGGTGGTGCCATTACTCAGGCAGTCTGTCCAAGATGCCAAAACGAGCTCCGAACGCTCCCTGAGAGCTCCATTTAGTCCTGAAGCTGCCAGTAGGAATATCAAATGAAGATATTTCCTTAAAGAGACAAATTACTAAATAAACGCTTTCTACTGAATTATATATAATAAATAAATAAATAAAAAACATAGTTTTAATTTTCAGGTCTGCCAGTAGTCCCTCATTTACCCACAGCTGACCAAGACGCAACCTATCCTATCATTACATGCAAACACAAAGAAATAGGTGAGCAGATTTTGTGGGAGCAAATCTCTCTATTGTGGTCACTGTATTCTAGGACAACAAGCCAGACTCCAAAGTCTGCTTTGACAAGCTGTCAGGACCTCAACCCCCAGCCCCACCGTGGCAAAGCATTCATCATTCGCAGCTACAGCCAGCCCTGGAGCTGGTTGTTTGCGCACATCAACTGTCAGTCTGTGGCGACTGAAGGCAAACAAAAGGTGAAGATTGGAGGGGGCTGTGCTGACTGTCCGAGCCACTTGGCCAACAGAGAGAGCCGGAGAGGTGCAGAGGCCTCGACCTCAGTCCCAGCACTAACTCCCTCTGACGCGTCACCGGCTCCCTTTAAGGACATTTTTTAGCACAGCTAAGCATTCTGGGTGGAAGACTCCAGAATGAGATGGCATAGTGAATAACAACCGAGGAGAAAACACTTCTAGTAGTTGCATGCATATACATCTCCTTTGAGTTTAGAAGTTGGTGCAAAAGCGAATAATTAAAAAAGGATTTATTATGCTTCATTTAGTATTACTTACCTGAAGCATCCCATAACCGTCTTGCTCGATCGTTCCCTCACATGTAATGTGGAGCCTTGTGAGCAAAGTCTGCGAACTGAAAAACAAACACTGTTCTCACTTATTCCACTTTAAGCTCCTCTTTATTTGCTCCTTCTGATCTCAAAAGGAAAAAAAAGATCAACCTTTTCCAGTTGGGAGGTTTATCCAATCTTTTACGGCTGAACGTCACCAGTCCTGTTGGCTCTGCAGAACATAAAGACAAAAATCGGAAATAGTTTCTTTCTTTTCACTGTAATGGCAGTTTTAAAAAGTACTCAATCCAATCACTTACTTTGTTCAGTGACACTCTTAAAATAACACATAAGAGTTTTCAGCTTTTCAATTTTCTTGGATGAAGATCCCTCAAACAGCCTGCAAGGAAAAAAGCAAATCACTATTTTAATTTTTCTTTATGGTTTCTACACTTTTCATTCTCCCCCAGTTTAAAATTTCCTAATTTTTTCCAAAACAGATCTTTATAAAGCTAGATTTATTATCTTTATGCACCATAATCCATCTATTTCAGCTTTCAGCAACTCTTACATTTCAGTCATCTTAAATCAGTCTGCTCATTGTAATCCGAAATCATAAATGCATTTAAGTCTTAAGTAAAATAAACCGAATAGATGGTTTTTAGCCACAACTATTCCACCCTGAAAAGTAAATCATCTTTCTTCTCTGTGCTGAAGCTCACTTAGAAAATCAGTAAATTATCTTCAGTCTAGATGCTTAAATAAAATTAGTTGCTCCCACATGATTGGCTGAGTTGTTGAACAGCTGTACCATAATTTAGTGCTGAGGGAGTGTTTACGCTGATAAACAGCGTAGCAAACAACCATCAATGCTAACAGGCCAAAATCTTGACTACCAAAAACTATTCGCTGCAGAAACCTCGCTGTAGAGAGATGACCTCCATTTTAGCCTCGTGAGTTCAGTCATGCTTCAACTTTTGATATGAATTAGTTCATCTCTCAATCAGCCTCCTTTTCAGCCGCTAGCCGATTATGTAGAAGCTCCTTTCTGCTGTTAGGAGAACAAAGATGCCCCAGGCTGTCCATCACAGTGCAACACTCCTGCACTGTCCCTGCACTTAAAGAAGAGAAAGAGGACCAAGGACCTCTGTCTCCAGGGATACATTAGGAAGAGCCAAGTCCCTTTAAAGCAACAGTGTGCCGAGGAGGGAAAAAAAAAATGGTCCGAGCAGATACATAAAACTGCTGGCAGCAAGCTGTGGTGGATGTATCCGAGTGCACTTTGAACATTAAACTCACAATATCATTCTTAATCTGGCTCTAAAAGGAGGAATCGGATGCTTTAGTAAAAAAAAACCCATAAATTTCATGGGATGAAAATGAAGCAATGACAAAAGCGTGATGCACTAAGAGCCTTTCAGGGACTGGGAAAGATATTCAACAAAGCCAGCTCCAGCTTTCATTTGTTCGTTTTAGTCAGAGTGCCCCAAAGAAACAATCTATAGGGTCCTCAGGAAAATGTACCGGACATGAGCTCACCAACAGGGAGAGCAGCTATTCAGTCATTGACTGTAATACAGTCTTAGAGAAATAAAGACATAAAATCTACACACAGTTAAGCCCATTTCCCTCTTATGTATTTAGGTCTAAAGTAATCTTTTAATATTAACAATATTTCATTTCAGACAGAGTTATATCAGTGTTTTGGAGTGACTCAGCAAGAGCCTTGAATCTAATAAAGAATCTGTGTTGAGAGCAAAATATTAGGGTGATGGCATACAGGCTTTCCAGCTTCAAAGATGAAAGAAAACAAACAAATACATTTATCCAAAAATCAGCGAAAACATAATACTTTTATTGTGGATTATTGGTGCACATGTAGAACCCAACAGGACACACAAAAAGGTCCCTTGGAGCCATGGTCTAAATACACAGGAGGTCGGCCATTTTGGATTAAAGATGCCATTTTGACTCATGTTGTATCTCAGCAAAGAGCTCCGAGAGCTTTTGGGTTACATGCTTCAAATTCACTTTGCATGGACTTGAGGCATAGGGCAGCGGTCTTCAACAGGGGGTCCACGGAGGTGCTGCATGGGGGTTGCGAAAGTTTTGGCTGATTAGATTTTTTTTTTTTTTTTACATTCCCCCTGTTCAAATTGAAATGTGTTTAAATACACATTAACATGAATTTAACACACTGAATTAAACAGATAAATGGAGGCAGAAGATGTCTTTCAGTCATCAATGCACACATTCAGGGACACACAGGAGCCCTTTCAAGCTGGGCACCGTTTCATTCACAACACCTGTCCCATCAACCAGGAATGTAAAGCAGAAATACGTTAATAATCCCAGGGCAAAATTACTTTCTTTACATTACTCCATATGTAATAGAGTGACTATAGGACCAGTTTTATATAACACAATTTCATACAATATATATATATATATATATATATATAATTAGGGGGTCCCCGCTCCATCTTGTCATCAGTGTTGGGGGCCCTTGGCCTGGAAAACATCGAAGACCCCTGGCATAGGGAATTAAAAGTTATCAAAATAACTTTTCAACATCAAAGTATGTGGGCGTGGCCAAGCATCAAAATCTGACCTACCGTCATACGACATCATGGTTTTATGACCTCAATAAGCAAGGTCAGAGGACTACATTTTTTCTGTGCATCATGTCAGAACACCAATCACCACAAACAGATTTTAAGATATCAGTTTATCCTGGCTGCACTGGATTTTATTTAAAGTGCAGCAGAATAAAGGGGTCTAAAATAAAGCACGCTTTTTTCCATTTCAATAATAAAAATAGATTTAGAGACCTAAACCCTTTTTTGCTTGTCATTTAATCTGGTTCGAATGTCATCAGCAGTCTTTGGGTAATTCAGACAACTTGACGTTTAATCTCTAAAACAGCAGACAACTCAAAGCCTCCTTCTATAGCAGGTGGTCAAACTTCATCTTTGATTCCAGCTCGCTATACATGTATTTCCTGGTATATCTGCCAGTTTCTTAACTTCTGTTGTGAGGTGTAAATATGCCAAGGACATGTTTACATGTGTGAGTCGCTGACCAAGCTTTCCAAAGCTCAATTAAAGACTGGCAAAAGGAAAATACATGGACAAAAAAAATGTTTAATTGTGGCCAAGAAGTAGTATTTCGTGCGCACGAAGTAGTATTTCGCGGTCACGCAATAAGTACGAAATATGATGACGAAATACTACTTCGTGGCCACGCAATAAGTTTATCGTGCGCATGAAATACTTATTAATGATATCAATAAATCTGCCCCTGTTTTCAGGCTTATGTTAACTGTAATGACTTATCTTGGACAGGCTGCTATGTAAACGGGCCTTTAGTCCTTCGTTTAGCTATGCTGCGGTTGTTTACACTACGCCTTTTCCACCTAAAATGGCGTCTTAGCAACAAATGTCACGTGACTGGCAGAGACCGACTGGGTAAGCAAATCGAGCGAGCCTTAGACCTTAGAGAAGGCGCGCTCGATTTGCTTACCCAGTTGTCCAGGAATGATATTAATATTATTAATAAGTATTTCGTGCGCACGTTAAACTTATTGCGTAGCCACGAAATACTACTTCGTGGCCACAATTAAAAATTTTTTTGACCATGTCATCAGAGGGGCTCTGTACAAACATATTGAAGATGTAGAGCAGAAGCAACTCAGAAAACAGGCTGAAGCAAACTCAGTACTTTTGCCTTTGATGATCAAATTACTGGAGGTTAAGGTGGACAGAGACGGAGAGTTAAACCATTCTTTGTTCTAGTTGATGTTTCTCAGGAGGGATTACTGCGAAGTTCAAAACTCAAGGCAACTAAATATCCACTGCTACAGGTGCTGCAGGAGTAGATCGACAGATGCAGGTATATTTAAGGCAGATGTAAATTATTTTGATGTCGATCAAATCAACATCAAAATCTAATGACACAATGACAACACAAGTTACATAAGTCTTAATTTAAACAAAAAGAAACATTAACATTAATAAAAGAGAGCAAATGCAGGGTGTGTCAGACACTCCATGTGACCTCAAGGCATGGCTGCTGAATGCACTAATGTACAAATCCCCAAGGTCGGTCCTTGAGGGCTGCTGTCCTGCAGGTTTTAGAAGTTTCTCTGCTTTAGCACAGCTGTCTTGACAAAGTATCACCAAAGTCGGTCCCACTAGTGGTGCCTGCACTAATGCATCGGAGCAGGCATGCACTTTTGGCCCATTACAAGAAAATCGCATACATCCGCCAGCTGATATATTGGTCTATCTCTAATAAATGCACTGAATGGACTTGAATTAGAGGACAGTGAGAATATTTCACCCAGAACATCTCCACAAAAAGGAGAACAAGACATGGTGTTAAGAGTAAAACATGAGTGATTGCCTTCTGTCCAACACAGGACCGTTGAAAATATTACTGAGGTGAAGTGTATTTGCATTACAAATATTTAACATCAAACAGCAAAGAGATGCCCTGAGCTGATACTTATATCAGATCGGTTGAAAATTAGACTAAAAAATGAGGCTCTGAATACCTTGGCCTAAAACTGTGATATAAGCAGGCTAATAGAAACAGTCCACTTCTATCTGCTTCTATCTTAAATTTCTGTAACCCTTAGGACTATTTTATTTTTTAAGTACCGGTAGCATCACTTGATGAAACCTTTTTTGCATGATTTGTGATGCTTTTGTATCAGGTCAAGCTTTCCAAAGCTGAGATAATTAAAAAGTTTTATCTGGATACCTCTTAATTTCACAATTGAGAGCATGAAAACCTAAATATGAAATAAAATAAAAATAGCAATGACACCTACTGCATTGATGTCCGAGTTGATGTTTGATGTGAAGACTTTTTTTAAACTCTTCCTGCCTTTTGCTTTAGTTCTTCCAGCCTTTTAATATAAGTTTCTACTTTTAGACATAGAACTTAGTATTATAAGATCATAATATAGTTTATTAAAGGAAAGAGGGAAGAAAATTCTAACTAATATTTCATGATTATTCTCAAACTTTTATGTAAATATGATTATTCTGCACAGTAAACTCCTTCACTGTGTCTATTACAGAAGCCAGATGTGCGTTTCTTTGTTAAAAACAGCCATCACAGTCAGTTTTAATCTAATTTGCTCTTCCATTTTGCTAATCGCATTTTGATTCCGACATATCAGCAAAGATCTGCAGGGAGATTTTACAATGCACCACCAGGACTGATTAAAGGACATCCTCACTGAAGGATGTCAAGAGTTCTTTTTTTTTTTTAAACCTTTTCTTTAAAAATAGCATTCATTTGAAGTTAGCTGGTGTCCTTTTGTGTGTTTTGCACATGCATTCCATGTTTCCCAAAATATGGGACAAATCTGTCAGCATATTGCATCAAAGTAAATATAATATTCCATAAGTAAATTATTCTATGAATAGTTATTTCATGTAGCCAAATACGACATCTGCTTGTGTCAGAACATAAGACCAGATAAAGATTTTAGGGTTTAATGTGCAGCGAACAAAACATACACAGTAGAGACATGACAAGTGTCATGAACACACTACCTGAAAAAATTGATGTCTGGGTAGTTGTAGTACTCTGTCTTTCTGGAGTTTCTTCTAGGGAAGGTACAAAAGAAGGCGTTTGCTAGAAGACATGCCACCTGCTCCTGAGACATGGTGATGGAGTGATTCATGCCTCTTTTCAGCAGGGGGATAGGCTAGAAGAGAAACAGAGGTACAACTGTAGAAGGACAAAATCATTTGCACCGTTAGACAATAAACATTCTAAGATTTTGTGAAATCCAGATGCATTTTTATTGAACAGCAAGAAGATAATTCTCAATCCAGATATGCTTTCAATAGAATTTTAAAGTAACATCTCATTTTAATTTGTGATACTATGATTTTGGAGAAGGATAAGAAACTTTGAAAATGGATTACACTTCTTTCATTCATTTTTTAGGATTTTATCTCTGTAACCTGTGGATAATTTCAACAGGTGTTCATAATAAACAATGGTTTGCCTGTAGAAAATGCAATCTAAGTTATTTACAGAATTCAATGTAAAAGAAAAAAAAAAAAAAACACTCCCAGTATGGAGAGGAATCCTGATAACCCTATGGAAAAGCTACCCCGTCAGACATGCCTGTATATGTCGGCTCAGACTGCGGCTACAGACCAAGGATCTCGTTTAAACTCCTTTAAAGGTTTATCTTCACAATACTGTAAAAAGAACTGTATGTAATCCTGTATGTTTTCTCCTCTGTTGAATTCAGCTTGCAGGCAAGCTGAATTCTTGTGGTATTGATGTATTCACAAACATACTCATCCCCCAAATACTACCGCTTCAACATTTTGAAATCAACCCAAAGGGGCATGACCAATCACTATACAGTATTATGGTTTAAGGTGGGACAAAGCCACAACCTCCGAGCACCAACCTTTGGTGGGAAAGAGTTAAGGAAGTGATGGGAATGGAAAAAATAACGGCAAAATTACAGTTTAAAGATAAATTGTCCAAAAAGACATGGGCACCTGTACTTATTGAGATAGAAAAACCTTAATTGCTCTGGAATTTTAACTGTAATAATTTTCATCTTTGGAATGGATAGGAATACAGAACGTGATGGATTGACATATTAAAATGTCCTCTCTAAATTTTTTGTAAAGTTTTTTTTTTTTTCCTTAATTATGTATTTGTTTTGACTTCTGTAATTTGTTGTGTTTGTATTTATAAATCAACACCTTTGGGAAAGGAAAATGTAAACAATTTATGAAATTCTGTAAAGAAATGGTTTATGCCTTTACCAAATAAAAATGAATTAATAAAACAAAAAGTTACAAACTGGGACATAACTGTGATGAAAGCAAGAGCAGCTGAACTAAAATAAACATGGCAGAAGGAAGTATGCTTAGCTGCTTCTATCATATCCGTTATATAGAATCCATGATTTAATCTTTGAAAGAGGAACAGCAAGAGCTTCACAAGCATAACTTATTGTGGTTTCTCATTGCATCTGTTGCCATTTAGTTTGTTACCGTGATTGGCTAAAGACAAACCTTGGTAGGCGGGCACTAGGTGTCTCTTTGCCGAATAACAGGTTCTGAACAGATTAAATGGGAGCCTTCCCGTATTCGTCCCGTATTAAGGTGTTGAACTAAACCCAAGTGCTTCACATTATCAATCCACTTTAAACTGTTTTTATGAGTCATTTTCGGTTTACCCCTCTTGTGAAAAGTGTTAATAACCTTCTTGTGAGCTGCTGCTAAGTCACCAGTCTTCCTGATGACTAGGTAAACTAAGATTACTGAAGCACAATAGAACAATGCACCATTCAAATCTATTTCTATTAGACTAACAAAAAAAAAAAAAAATCACATTTGGGTTTTTTGTTGGCTTCAAGTAATAAGAATTCATTCATATATATATATATATATATATATATATATATATATATATATATATATATATATATATTTCAGGTGAACAATTGAATACATCAGATCAGTTTAAAGTTAATACATCAATCAAATATAGTTTTTTGTAGCTTTAACTTTAAATTTGAAGTATGGAAGTAAACTTACTAACCAATAACATGCACCGCTAATCATGACTTAATAAAGGTTTCTTCCAAATAATTGTTTAACTAACAACTTTACAAAATTATCAGAGAGCAGTTTTTAAATCATCATTTTTGTTCTGTGTATAAAATGTCTCCCCAAATACAAAGCCTTTTTACAATCCCTTAATAAGATCATTTGTCATCTGAGGACCTTTGATCAATCTCCTGGAATGATCCGCCTCAAACCAGCAAGTCAAACCAATGGTTAGTGAGTGGTGTTACCTTGGTACAGAGCTCAGATGCTCTCAGTGCTAATTGAACCATGTCTGGCAGCAGAGATTCAAACAGATGTTCCACAGCATCAGGCTCCAAGACCTTAGAGAGAGCAAGAAATCTGCTTATGCATTTTTTTCCATAAACTTCAGTTGCGACTCTATTATGCATTTAGACTGATTAGTTTAGGATATATGAAATAAACTTGACTGATGCCTATGTAAGCTAGAAGACAGGATAATAAAACATGAAAAACAATACACCCATTTAAATAAAACAGTTGCAACACTTGCATAGAAAGAAATGAAAAATGAAAGCTGTTTTATCTCTTTATTAATTTGTTTAAAAGAAGATGTGAACATTGGGCAGGATGCTTTCAAAATCCAACAATCCATAATAGTAGTCATTCAGAGAAAACATACATTACTAGCATTAAACCAGGGGTGACTCCGAAACGTCAGAATTATCAATCACAAAGCAATTTCATCGAAGTTGCACGGCCAAGCAAATTCATTAAACAACCTTCCAGGAAGCGATGCAAATGACCAAGGGTTTGAAATAAAAAGGGCCGTATGCGTCCAGAACAAGAAGGCCCGGCTGGTGATTTAGCTTGGAACATTTATATTATGGCAATAGAAGTCTGGCTAAACACTGCTGTAAGTAATGACCTAGCTGACATCATAAACGGCCCCTGTGGGTGTAATAAATGGCGCCAGTTGACAGGATGGGGATAGTAGATATAGCTGAGGTAATATTAGGCAAGTTCTGTAAATCAGCAGCAGGCAGAGCATCATATGAGCCGAGTTAACCGTCTGTACGACTTTATACCAGGTCTGCATGTCAAACTAGACCATTGACCCAATCTAGCAAGATAAATAATGGTTTGCGAAGCATTTTCTTCAACTTTTCCCCTTTTTATCTAATTTAGAAAATTTATTTTAATGCATTTTGTTGTAATATTTGATAGATCAACGCGAAATAGAGCATAACTGTAAGGTGAAGGAAATGGATAAACAAAGAAGAGAAAAAAAGCTCTTGTTCTAATGGCTCTAAACAAGTATGAACCACTTTTTTTATCATAAGCATCCATAGAATACTGGTTGAGCTGCTAAGAGAGAAATGACCTAAACAAAACCGAGGCTGTCTGTCAACAGCCATTCTGTTATTTATAAGGAAGACCAGCTGAGATGAATATTCAATGAGGTCGCCTGGCCCGTCACTCCAAGCCATTCATGTGCATTTTTCACTGACACTACATTCAAAACATTCTGCCTTAATCTGCCACAATAGCTTGAGAGCAGTAAGATACATGCTTTGTAGTTAAATCGTTTAGTTATTCTTGTGCAGGAAATGATCACAACCTAATTATAGACCTAAATTCCTCTAAAACAACCATATCTAATTGGCTGTTTTAATTATTTTTTGCAGCTGTATTAAACATATAAGAGGAAGTGTGACATTTAAGTCATTTTGGATGGATAGCAGATTCTTTTTCTTTCACAGCAAGCAATAAACATTCCTTTAAAAGGTTTAACATGGTCAATTATGTAGCTCTAAAAAGTAACCAACATTCGACCATTAAGGCTCCCTTATACCAGCCACAATCCTTTCACCTAAATGTAATTATATAAACTATGCCTTTATTCATTAAAAACACACTACAAACTGAGCCTCTCTGGTTCATATCACATCTAAATCAGATTCTAACCCTAAAATTACGCCTGTGGCAACAGCCACTCTCAGTGCAGACGTTTACTTTGATAGAATACCCTTAATAAAATCATTTATGACATGAATTTCATTTGTTAGTTATTAAAGAGAAGCTGAATGGATCAAACTACTGGATGCAATTTTTATTTTCGGTAAGTTAGCAAATGTGACCTTTTCTTTGTAGATTCAATTACTACTCAGAGCTCACCCTTAACAAATGCAGGATTTTCCACCTAGATTACATCCATTACTGCTCTGCTGAAAAATGACTCAAACAGGAGGTATACTGAGACAAAAAATAATTTATTTTTCCACATCTTATATTAAATGTTTTTAAAACAAAAAGGTTTTCCAGGTATAATCTAACAAGCTTCTGAAATGTCATTTCACCTGTATAACAACACAAAGTCTCCGCCAGGATGACTCCATCTCTTTAATGATCCAGACATACAGCCACCCTCTGAATCTTTATGGAGGATGACGCAGACCACTTTTACGCGACAGATGACGGATGATAGTCTCCAAAAACCACTGCTGAGGAAACTGGGGACTCTCAGCAAAGCACAATGAACCAATATGCCACTGAGAATCATAATAATCTTATTCCTGATGAGATCAGACCAACATCTTGAGTCTTTATGGAGTTCGATCTAGTTCTGCACATTGCTGCTTGCTGTGAGACTTTATATGCTTCCCTATGGCCACCTTTGACTATGAATACAGCTGCAACTCACTGTGTGTTCAGGATAACCTGCTGTGTTAGTCTTCCATTTAGATCACAAACTTGAACTGCTCTCATATAAGCAGAATATCTTCTAAACTTACAAATATATAATAGATCTCATAACCTCACCAATATTGCATATAATAAGAGGAATTTCTGCAAAGTCTGTGACTTTCTTAGACAAAATAAATTCGACATGGAAACTTTATTCCGGTGCGTTATATGTTAGCTAGTTCAACTCAGAAGCGTGTGCATGTATTTAAATCATTCAGTGTCATTGAACTGGATTGTATTGGAGTGTTGACCATGCAGCTCCCAATATGAACTGTTACTTGCTGTCTAATAAAGTTGAATAGAGGCCAGATTTGTAGAGCGCATCTTTTTAAAAGATGGTCCAACCTAAACTGTGTGCCTCTGCAGCTCTTCCAGAGTTGACAGGGACTTTCTCTCTGATTGAAGCTCTCCATGAAAGGCCTGTCAGGACCATCTCTGGATAAGTTTACAGTGTTGTAATATCCTTTCCATTTTAAACTGAGTCCCTAATATTCTCCGATGAACCTCTTTGCCCTGTATTGAAGTATTCATAATGAAAACTAAATCTGAGAATCAATTACAATAGGTGAAAAACTGCTGCTCCCTAAATGCACCAGTGAGCGTTATCATAGATGTTTCCTCCCAGCAGCTGTAAGACTCTGTTCCCAGTAACCTCAATAAGTTCTTACATTCATGCTGATTTTGCACAGTTTCTCCCTTAGCCGGTTAAATAACACGCTGCTGTCATTTTGCACATATCAGATGTTGCTGCTATTTTCAAATATCCATTACTGTAAAAATATCCATAGCTGTATATTGGTTATTTTATTCTCCGGGTGAACAGTTTTATATCATTAAAACACTTTACAGAACAGTATTTTATTTATCTTTCAATTCTTCACTAGTATGTCCACATTGTGTGACAATAAAGGGATTTTCTATTCTATTGTTGTTTACTCTATTCTAATTAATTAGGGGATTTCTGAAAGCATCTGGTTGCTCTAGATTTTATTCAGGGTTATAGGAGCAGGTGGGCTGAAAACAAATACATGATGCATTTTTCAGATTGTGAGATGTGTAACATTTTCCCTTCACTTTACAAAGAAACAGTGCATTTTATTCATATTTAATTTGTAGTTTTAACACATTTTGGAAAAAAAATCCAGAAGTATGGATACTTTTGCAGGGCTTATGATTTTCCTGGAAATAAAATTCTGTCCGATACCAATCTGTTCCAATAACAGCAGCTCTAGACAGGCCAGCTTTAGCAAGATCGTCCAAGCTGGCACACAGAGAAAATGCTACCATTATGCCCACCTCAAAATGTACACTTTCAGTCCAAACAAGCTCATTTTCAGCAGCGGCAATCAAATTGAATTCTCTCGCTGTTGTAGGGTTTTTAGATTCATCAGTTTTTAGATAAATATAAATCAAATATGACAATCAAAGAAAATCTCTGTTCCTCAAGTTAGATTTCTTTGCGTTTTAGAGATTTTTGTATCAACCTATAAATATCTTGTCAAGCCGCAATATTTCCTATAAATATATATATGGAAATCATTTATAAAGAGAAAGGAAAAATAACCTGAGATGCACCGATCCAATCCGATACCTGGGCTGAGCGTATCAGCTAATATATACAATACAATCCGATTCAACTGTTGAATGAATTAATATATCTCGTATATTCTCATATATCTCGTCACGTGAGTGAAGGGCTTTAGCCTTGACTAAACATAGTTAAAAACGGCAACTTATTAGTAAAGATATAAAGGTACTTCATATTACATACTAACACATAAGCAGGAAAAAGATAAAAAATTAGTTCCATGTAAAGTGTGCTAAATTGGATCTCCAATATCCGATCCAGCTAATCAGTCAATATCGGAGCTGATATCCAATTCAAGGTAAAGGGTAATAACCATAGCAAATATAGTTTACCTTGTTGCAGTACAAGTCCAATGCAGTAAAATCCCATTTTTTGGCATTTGATGCACAATATTTCAGCACTGCATCCTGTAACAAAATCATGCAAAACAATAAAAAAAAAACATTTATAATATGCTTCAAGAGAAACAAATACTTACAGCAATTTGAATGCTAGAAATCCTTTTGAATTCATACCATTAGTGTTAATAAGCTTTCTGCTTTTCTTTTCTAACCCTAAAACGCCATCTTGTGGCACAGCTTAGTAAAAACATCTAAAATATGCAAATGCTATTCCTCATTCTCATATTTATTGATTCCGATTTGCTTACCCCTAAATATTTTGCATCAACAGCATATTTTGGATAAAGACAAACTGCTGCATTCTAGGTTTATACATCTAAGAATACAAACCTCCATCCTAGTTGTTTGGTTGAAGCAGAAGGGAAAAAATATGTAACACCACTTGCCTTCAACTCAGAAGCGTTTTTAAACTTTTTGTTTAAAGTTTGTTTGATTAGATCCCACCGACTCTTGTTCTGAGGAAGAACAAATTGCATTAGAAAAGCAAGTTCAGGTTAGCAACAAATAAAGACACTGTAGTGCCACCTACTGGTTAATCAAGAGCATAACTACAACCTGCCTGAATATACAGTTCCAGTGCAAATAACAACTCTGGTGTACTTTAAAAAATGCACAACAACTTAGAAAATGTCTTATAACATATAGTTATGAGACATTTTATAAGAGATAGTTACTTAAATGCTAAAATTGAATCTGCTTGTAAGAACTTAATTTGCAGACAGTGATGTGAAGTTTGTGTCTGTAATGTTTTATGATATTAAGCAAGCAGGACAAGAAACAGCAGCTTTACCTCATCACCAATTGGAAATAGATTCCTCTGTGAGTAGGGCATCTTCACATGGATATCATCCCATGTATCGAGAAATGTAGCTGGGTTTGGGACAGGAGCGTTAAGATTTCCAAGAAGGTCTGTCTATCAGTGGGAGCAACAAGGAAAAGTGTTTTAGTGCTTCCTACGTTTTGCTGATATGAAGTCGACATACTTTTTATTGGCATAGCCTCACTTTAATTCTGGGCTTTTAATGATACATTTCAACCGTTCTTTATCTAGGGAGGAATTCTGCCATGATACATTATCTTAAATGAATTTAAAACAGGAATTTGGTCTACAAACTTTAACTTGCTTCTATTTTCTCTAATCCACACAGGATAAAAGTTAGAGATTAGATCCATACACTGGATCTAAACATATACTGACTAATATTTGCTGATGTTTCAGCAATTTAAATGTCAACATTTATATGTTTGGCATCTCTTTGATGAGTCAAAGTGAACTTAAAACTGTTTTCTATTGAGCATGGCTGTGGAAGTATCATAGTGTGGGTCTGTAGTGCACTGGAGCTGTGAAATTGAAATGTATTTCTAAAAGTTTTTCCTTTTGTTGAATAAAAGAAGTAAGTTCTCCAACCCTTATCATGACGGTGTGATGGTCAGGATCATCTTCCAGTGGACGAAGCGGCCCACCACAGTCCGGCATCCTCCTCAGCTCGCCGATTGGTGTTCCCAACCATTTAACGTCAGCAGGTGTACCTTCCTTTTTGGGATCTTGCTCCTCTGAAGTCGTATCTCGGCAACCATTTTTCACGTTGAAAGTTTGTGACGAGCCCCCCGGAAAAAAATCTGTAATTTTGGCTCTCTGATTAATAGAGTGTGAAGATCCAGCTTCATCTTGTTTGTCTAACTCCTCCTGATAGGGAGAGAGCTTCTGTGTCAGTTCGATCTCTTCGGTGTCGTTGGAATCTGGCTTTAAAGGACTGTCCTCACTAAAGTCTTGTGGTGTTAGTATCTCCGTGTCTTCATCCATTGTAAAAACTTCAGATTTCTCAGCATTTTCATAGTTTACAATAACAGCTGAAGGGTTTTGAGACCCCTGATCATCTGTCATTTCCACATCCTTCTGGCCTGGACTCTCTCCTGTTGCGCTTGAACTTTTTGAAGGCTTCACCAACCATTGATCAAGGTTATTTTTAAACTTCAGCTGTTGTTTTTTGAAGTTAGCTTTTGTTTTTATGCCGCGTAGGCCGCCTGCTCCACTTTTATGACGCGCATCCATATTTGTCTTTGCTTTGTTTTGATTCATGGCTTCATTTCCAACACTGGGATGACAAAAACTCAAACCTAACAGAAAAAAAAAACTGTAAGAAACCTAGATTGTGACAATATGTTCAAATATTGTCCGAGCAAAGTACCTTTGTAAAAAGATGCAGCTGCTGCTTGATTTTTTGTCTCAACCTTTGCCCTCCTTAACGGTTCAAAGTCTGTCAATCCAGTTATTCTATTTAACAACAAATAAGAAAACTGTAAAAGCAAATTTTGATATAACAACACGTTTTAAATGGAATAAGAAAAGATATTTACTTACAACAAAGCTTGGATAGACGCCAGAAACACTGTTTGGTTTGGTTGAGTCGAAATTAATAGTGACTTTTTCAGCTGAGAAACCAGTTTTAACAAACTCCAAAAAGCCATACATACAAACTACCTGATAAATAAAGCAAAAGGCGTGTACTTCATTAGAAAGATGAGCTATATTGCAGGAAATATATCTAGCTCCTTTGTATTCAACCAAATAACAATGGTAGCTCATACATTAGCCGGGATGCTAACCGGCTTTTTTTATTGGTTAGCTCTTCAAATAAGCAAAAAAAAAATCCTTACAGTAATATCTATTTTAGATTTAGACGCTACCACACTGGAGACATTTTGTACCCAACATTTTATAGAATGCGCTGGAAAACGGTCGCTGTTTTGTCAAATGTAAAAAGAAAAGAGAAACACTTCCGTATTATTGCTACGTCACAAGACGTCATGGGTCAGCTATAGGTCAGACACACGGACGGGGTGTTGCTGCCACCTGCTGGTCATTATTGTACTTTCAAGATTTTACATTCTGTTTATTTTTCTACTAAAAACTTAGTTTGTTCTTTTATTTCATAATTCAAATTATATTTTTTATTATAAAATGCGCATTACAACAAACAAGGAAAAGTAGCAATGTAGATATATGTGAGAAAGGATGAGAGATGAGAAAATAGACATAAATATACCTAAAAACATGGAAGTAGTCGTTGAGTTGCATAGATTGATTATGAGCTGATCTTTGAGAAAATGGGTGAAGAATCAGCAAACAAAAAATAAAATTTGAGTATTGCATCAGATTAATGACAATGTTGTGTTTTTTTTTTCTTTAAAGCCCACTGAAAGCTATGTTTTCTCAATCAGTAATTTGTATGCTGAGGCCTGAATTTCTGTGTAATTTGCACAGTGGTATGGAGGCAAAATACTCTCCACATCAGTCTGGCCAATCCAGCACAGCGTTGATTAAGCCTTGATCTGCATAAAGTGTTTCTGCAAATTACCTTCTAATTTCCTGATAAATGGCAGTGCTGATTTTAGACTTAATAAATTTCAAATTATCACTAACTGTGGAAAATGGAGTTCTGCTGGCCCAGCAGTCCTTTTATGTTTAACTAAGGAATGGTATGCTGATACTGTATATGTGATTTAGTTATGAAACACCTGGATGCATATGTGTTCTTGACCATTCCAGCTGCAATCCATGACTTGTGTTTGATCCCAAAACACTTAATCAATCTCTTTTTCTCAACCCACTTTGGGCTACATTTATATAGATTTTTTTTATTTAAACATGTATTTTATTAGTTGAGCTTCACATAATGCTTTGCCCTTTAAAACCTGGACTATAAAATAATTAACTGAAAATTATATTGTTTTTTTAATTAGGGTTGTCATTGAACTTTCTGACAAATGAAATAAAAAATAATAATTTTAAGTTAAATGACATAGTTTATTTGCATAAATTTGGATACATTAGCATTTCTGTATAATCTTTTATACTATTACTATCTATTATTTCTGTATAATCTTGTCGGTTCACTACTTGTGTCTGATTGTGGAAGTCAGGGTTTTCAAGACCAAAAAATTCCCACTAATGATGAAGAGGTTTCAAAATATCACGTATCTTATATGATAGACTTGGCCTTAAAGGGCTGTGTGAGCAGCCAACTTTTTAATTAATCAAGTACTTTTAGGATTGTAATCTTAGTTCGAAAAAGCATTTTTTCCTTTAGTTTTAAACTACTGAAAATATGAACCACTAGGTACCAATAGTAAACCTGCAGATTGAGAGCTAAATGCTCCCTTAGGGACATAAGGTACAACCAGATCTCTGATATAAGATGAATTGTGGTTATTTAGGGCTTTACACCCTCAAGTAAATAATACATGGAACCGTTTCTCAGCATCGGCCCTGGACAAGATATTTCTAATTTTCCATTATTGCTGAGATGAAAGGACATTCTAGAAAAATCTAGCTAACTTTGAAATCCCAAAAAGGATAAAAACAGTCCAAACAAAGTTCAGGTTCTAATAGTTACCTCAGATGCTGCCTCACCTTCTAGAGATTAACTAATTGGTTAAAAGATACAGTATATGTACGATCATGTAAAAACATATATTATACAATTTTTTTTTAGATAACCCTCTTAGTTTCTTTTGGGGATTTTTGAAATGGTGAATGGATAATAAGCTTATCATGTAAGTGTGCAATAATGCCTCTCTGCTGTAATTTCTGGAAGCAAGTCTCTTCTTTTATTATGTAGTTTCAGAAGGTCCTCATTTTTGAACATTCAACAACTCTTCAAATCTTTGGCTTTGCTAAATAAAGCAAGCTTGTCTTTCAGCAGTAAAATAGGACAACTATGGGCTTTGGTTTATCCAATGGCGTCTTTGGTCTTCTGGTTGTCCAGCTCAACTCTGACATGATCCAACTACAGTTTGTGTCTTTAAAGCTACTTCATTTTCTGATGCGTTTTCATTTACAGACTCTTCGATGCATTTAACAACATAATGGCATCTTATTCCACCCTCTTCATATTCCTTTTGTTTTTATTTAAAGAGGCCCGATTGTTTCCTCATCAGGTCTTTTTGTGACATTTCCAGGCTCACCTTGAGATCATAAACTTGCTGTGAGAAATCATCAATCCTATTATTGGAAGAATCTATGATCATTTCAACATTTTTTAAAATTATTTTCCTGTTGTCCAAGTTAAGCCTTAGAAAAATCTTTCTTTTATTTCAGCAACACACACTTGAGTCAAAGAACTTTACAGAATCTCTGCAAACTGTCCAAAGTAACCAAACTAATTTAGATTCATCACTATTTCTTGATTGTAGATCGATTCATGTCTCATGTTTCCACCAAATAAATAAAAGGAAAATTTTTACTTCAGATTCCTTAGGTTTTTGTTAGATTAAGACAAGCCACAACTCAGACAAACCCAGCGATGCACTGCTAATGACACAGGAAATGGAAGATTCCAATAGCTTTGGGACATATTTGAACAAGTTCAGTAACAGCTTTATTGCAAGCCTTATAACCATTAAAGGATGACTTATTTCTTTAAACCTCAGGGCATCTTGCAAGATTTAAAATATGTATTTCAAGCAATTATAAAACTGAGGCTGAGAGAAAATCCGTTTCAGTAAGACTTTTTTTTTAATTTGCAATCTATAATTTGAGGCAAACAATTGGTTTTTACAAAAATAAAAAGGAAGGACTTTTCATCTTCATATTGTAGAAATATTTGCATTACGGAGCCCTGGGGTTAGCTGGGCAGAGGCATTGCATAAGTAGAAGAAAAACAATAGAAAAAGAAAACAACTATAACCATCACATAATTATAATGAAGTTACATAGAAGCCTTTTGGCAATTCTTGAAAATTAAGACTCTTGTTGGGTTTTTTTTATAACTCAGGAGACAAAACCAAATGTTCACACAAATTGCTCTTTTTTATCTATTTAACAGCAAGTGCTCAGCAAGATTTTAATAAATTTGAAATAAAGTCAATATATGCCAACAACATGGTGACATATTTGAGCTTATCCTGCAGCCTGAGGAAAGACATCTTCAGTAGATGGACATTCTGTTCGATTCAACTCCCCTGAACCTCATAAAGCACCTGGACGCATTAATTTACTTTCTTATCGCTGGTGTTATCATTGGCAGCTGTGTCATAATGGCACTTCTCAACGCATCTTCTGGGAAACCATCCCCGCACGCGATCTCCAGCTAAGGGAAGCAGGAAAAACATGTTAAGGAGGATTTAAATCAAATAGAAAGATGAATTTATAACAGGGATTTTACTCTACCTCTCATTTCCCCCTCACTCAGAACTTTGTCTCCATACATCCACCATCTAGAAAAAAAACAAAACATTAACATGTCTCCTGGATTGATTACCCACTATAATTGGGTGTTTCTATGTAGATGATCATACTTAGTGCCACGGGTGGCCAGGATGATTTCCCCCTTACTGAGGGGGATCCTGGGCTCCTCGGTACAGGGGGTTCTAAAAAAGGTTTGCAAACCCTTAGTGAGAGGGCAGCAGGCTCCATTGTAATCCTCCACTACCTGGTACTGGACCTGCTGGTCAAGGCAAACACATAGCACATTATTTTACCGCACTGATCATGTCTTTCAGCTGTTTATTAATATAAACTCTGTGTTGTAGTGGAATATTTCTGTTTTAGATGGAAGATCTGTATTAACCATATTTCTTACACCTTTCTTTTTTTATTATTTTACATAAATCCCCGAAACCGATATTTTTATTGTTCAGCTGAATCGTACAGAATATAAATAAACCTTTCCAATGAAATTGAAATATACATTAAAATAAAATGATAATCTTTGCTTATCGAGGTGTTTTTATGATTCAATGTATATGGTGAATTAATTATGTTGAAAAACATAATTTTACTCCACCAATCTCTCTATTAACGACAAAATAAGGATTTAGCAGGTACTTACACTTCTCACTCTCTTATCGGCTTTCTGCTTCAGCTGCTCTATCTGTAAAATACACAAAAACAGAAATAATTTAAGTCAAGACTATAGCAGAGGAACATTTAACAAGAAATGCCTCTTGAGTAATATCTAAATAAATATACTGATCAGGGATTATTCGTAAACACTGTGGTTCTCAATCTTTTCAGCCTGTGCCACCAGTGGATATACCATATGTATCAGTAGATCAATTCAGAAAGGCCAGGACAGTATAACACCTTATCATGTCACTATTGACCCAATCATTTGATAAATGATTCAATAAAAACAGAACACCAAAATTAAATGCGACAGCTACGAGTTTAACTCCTCCCTGCCAGTAAGTGGCAAAGCTTTCATTCTATACTGGTTTCCATTCGGTTAGCAGGTCTGCTAACGCTAATGCAAACCTTTTTAAATGACTTGTTCAGAAGGAGGCAGCCCCCTTTGCTTCTGTCTGCACCAACACTCAAAAGCTTTACTGATGCTGGCCCTTTTTTGCTCTAATAAACACCTGAGCAACCTTATTCCTGTTGGTGCAGAATCCTTTTGTGTGGACATCGGCATCCTAACTGTAAGCAAATATTTTGGACACATCAAAATCGATTAAACAACTTCAGCCAGATTAATACTTTTATTCTGTAGAACTCTAGATGGTCTGCAGATGTATTATTCTTGGAAAAAAATAATTTTGATAAAAGAGTTATCATTCGGCTGCAGAACAAAGCAAAACAACGGAGGAAACAGAATTCATTAACAAAGAACCTACAGTTAAGGTGTGCTGGTGACACTTGGGATGAACCGGCCAAACAATGCCGTCCCCCCTCGGTGTCCCTGACCACGTAAAGAATTGTTTGAAATTCAGCCAGCGGCCGCCGAGGTCATATGGGAAGATAAACTCCTCCCCTGTTTGGTAGTGCTGTATTCTGTCTTTGGCCTAAACAGAAAAAAAAAAAAACCATAACGACATGACGCGGTATCAGTTATTTCCAATCAGCATACAAGATTGCATGATTCTACAAAATGTAAAACTATTTAACTATTAAAATGCAGAAAACATGTTTAAAACATTATTGCAATTCAACATTTTCAGCTTCCAAAATATTTTTAGAAATACTAATAATAATAACACATTTTATTTAAAATGGCGCCTTTCTGGACATTCAAGGTCACCGTACAAAAGCATAAAAACACAGTGTCAGAAACAAAATAAAAACATTAAAAAAATACAGAGGCTGTGACAGTGAAATTGATATTTAAAGACTTAAACTAAATCATAAAAATCTGCACAGAAGAATAAAAAACAATCTGACCTTTTCCTCAATCCAGGATTCGATTGAGGTTTTATTACGAAGGATGACTTTCATCTGCAAAAAAAGGAAACTTTATGAGTGATCATCAAACTCCAAACCATAGTACATTTGTGTAAAATCAGCATCAGTGCATTGCTTATTACTTTAGCTATTTTTGGAAAGTCTTAGTTTTAGTTCCTTAAAATTGATTATTCAATTTTTTCATACCAGTAACTGTGATGCATATAAAAAGTCAAAAATATGAGGGGAGCAACACAGAGTAAAAACCCAGTAAGAAGCTCTGGTGAACCTCTCACCGCTCTAAGCAGAGTTTACATAGTTAATTCTAGCTTTGCATGTTTTCAACCAAATGGACATCCCACTTGTTATTTTTGCATAACAAACAAAAACTTAAGCACACTTATGCAAAGCTTAGAGAAAAACCTACTTGAATGAAGAAAAGCATTCCAACAGCAATAGTGGTGCCCAACGCCAAACCTAAGGCAAAGAGTGTTGCAGCAAAGGCAGGCACACTGAAGGGCATGAGGGGCTGGAACTGACGCACAGCGCTCATGTCAATCTTTACGGTACTCCAACCAAATGATATCTGAAATGAAGGGAAACAAAATGAGTTTAGGACTTTTTCTCGAGCTGCAAAAAACACCACAAAGCAGCTTAAAATAGAGTAAGTAGATACCCTCTCATACAGCTGGGTGTACATGGTCATAATGAAGATAATGGCAGCGTGGGAGCATCCCAGTGGGGCGAGCAGCAGGAAGCTGGTGAAGTAAGCATGGTTTAAGTGGCCGCAGCAGTTGTTGATCCATGGGCAGTGGTGGTCCATCTTCATGACGCATCTAAACAGGAGCAGAAAAAAAAGGAGCTCATTGCTGATGGAACATAAAGTTGCACAATCAATCTCTTTAAAAAAAAACGAATGATGGTACAAGGAATCTAAAAGGCACAGAAGCACACAGACAAAAAAAAGACATAACTTTATAAAAAAAAAAAAAAAAAAAAAAAAGAGATCAAGGTTTAGTATTGAAACTAATCAATTAGTCTTACAAAATTATTTGCGTTCCAAAGTCACCAGCCTTGGTGCCATCATATAGAGGTTTTATATTTGATAAACAGATCAATAGCGTTTTAAAATCGTGTTTGTATCATCATCATATTAAGACATTTTTATCTTTTAATTTTTTGAAGCAAGTCATGCATGCGTTCATCTTAAGTCGCCTGGACGACTGCAACGCACTTTATTCGGGCATCAGCTACAAAGAACTTTCCCGCTTGCAGTTAGTCCAGAACGCTGCAGCACAGCTTTTAAGGGGTACCAAAAAACGTGAACACATCACCCCAATCCTTGCGTCTTTGCACTAAAATATTGTTTGTTTTTAAAGCCTGGAATGGACTGGCACCTCAGTATATCACAGACTATGAGGTCTGAGGGCCAGCTCCAGCTTGTGACTCCTAGGATAAATCAGAAAACCGGAGGGGACAGAGCGTTTAAATCTCGCCTTAAGACTCACTTTTATTCTCTGGCTTTAAGCATAGGTTGTGTGGTCCCCTGTGGCTTTGTCTTTATTTTATGCTTTGTTTTAAACTGTGTTATATTTATTGTTTTATATGTACCTAGTTGCATGTCCAGCACTTTGGAAATGTGTTGTTGTTTAAATGTTCTATATAAATAAAGTGTAGTGGATTGGACTTTTTACCAATAAGAAAAAAGTTCCTTCAAAAAGGGAAAGTCTTTTGTTTTTGATTGAGTTCCTACAGATTTGATTTCAAGACCCTTAAAATACCCAACTTTTTCTAACTCTTGAGTTTCCAGATTAAGCTGTAATTTCCCCTGAATGTGTTGAAAAATGTTCATATAAATCCAAACACAGCCATAATTTTTTATGGTAGATATAGTGAAAGTGGTTAAACTTTCAAAATATAACTAGAATAAACCACAGGAGGGGAAGAGGAGCAGATAGCCTGATGAGAAAATCGATGGATATAAGTGACGTACTGCATTTATAAAAATAGACGGAAGAATAACTCGACATACAGATGGACAGAGATGGAAGGAAACAGATAAACTGGTGGCTCAATAGAGGGATTTTTGGATTAATCAATAAGAGATTAACTAAACGATGAAAGAGGGATGAAAAGACAAACTAATGGATTGATGTCTGGACAAAAGTAGTTATAAATTAATAACTTCATGGATTAACAAACAGCTAAATGGTTGTACAATCAGAGGATATATGAAACCTTTTGTATGAATAATTAGCTGATTGGAACAACTGATTTTTAGAGATGTTGACATTCTTCAAACAGTAAAAGGAAGAAGGTTTGGAAATATAAAATGTATTACCTATAGTTTTCTAGACTTTCCAATCAATGTGTAGCAGCCCAAGTAGATTTGATGCATCTAAAATATAATAACTTGCGACTGTAGGTGCTAGCTTCATCTTATTGAACAGTTTTTTTTTTTCTCTCAAAGGTGTGAGAAAAAAAGACATAACTAAACTTGTTTGTGCAGGTGTTTACCTGTTACACTTTCGACAGTGGTGGGATCTGGGGGCCTTGTAACCTTGGCAAACTCTGCAGTATTGCAGGTACTGCATATCCTGTTGATTTTCCTGTTTGAAAATATAAAAAGTTAAAATCCCAACTAGAAATAAGTTATTTAACTCTGTGTGGCTAAATTAGCAGATAGATTGAGATTGTTGAGACATCAGTACATCAAAAATATTCTTACGGGTTTCCAGCCCAGAGGAATGTATCCTGGTCCAACAAACATAGCGTTGAAGTAATTGTAGAGAATGAGTACAGTCCAGTTGATGAGCATGATGAAGTTAATGCTGCCTCCTGTAGTGTCCAGAGGCCAGTACCAGATAATGGAGTCAATGATCGCCATGGTCGAGCATATAGCGATGACAGACAGCGCTATGATTGGACCCCAGTGGCACAACCGCCGAACCTCATGGAGGTTCTCGAATGTCACAAAGGTTGACAGGACCTTCATCCTTTCAACCAGACGATAATTAAAGTCTCTTTTGGTCAATGTTTTAAAATCAATGTTCAATGAGCTCCTCTTTTCCTCTGCTATCTTGCACGGCTAGCGGTGCACATGTTTTTGTCGTCTACTCTGCAACAACTCCCCGTCCTGCCGTCGAGTCGTTCGGGATCTTCGTGTCCCCCTAATCCTTGTTGTGCTGAAGACCAGCATTCTTTTATGTCAACATCTGTGACAGGCCATCCCTGTTATAGACAGATTTCCCATCTGTAAGGGAGAGAAAAACTGTTTTAAACCCAGTTTCATGTGGAAAGTAATAAGTAATAAACAAACAAAAACACAGATGGCTGTTTGTAGAGTGCTAGACCAACACCTATCCATGGAAAGTTAAGCGGAAGAAAAATGTTTGGGGGAAAAAAACGGCAAAATTAACAGAACATATTTGCTACCTTATTATGAGGCATGAATAAAACAAAACAGACTGTTCCTCAAAAATTTAAATTCCTGTATTCAGAAAAAAAGTAAATATATTTAATTTGGAAATTAAAGTTGCATGATGACATTATATTACGGTACCTTTTTCAAATGTGTATGCCAGTAGCTCACTCTGGTTGTTACTTATCCTTTGTTTTTGCTTAATCTGTGTGTAGATAAAACCTTCAGTGTATATTTACAACAAAACTATAAAAATCAGTTTTACCCCTTGAAAAAGTCTTAATGCATTATTCGCCTATTATGCATATTTGGGTTTTTATTAGCCTAACCCTTGATCGAACATAAAGTGGGAAAACATTTCCTGGTTTACATCACTGGGTGGGATAATCGCGTGACTTTTCTAACTAAATATATAAAACATAAATGAATTATGGTCTTATAAATTAAGGGGAAACTGGTGTATCAACCAACAGACCAGCAGCAACAACATAAATCTTAAATGTTTTTCTTTTTCGAACAGCTGAATTTCTCTTACTTATGGAAGACGATTAGGGCCACTGAAAAAATTTAAAAGTTAACTGATTTTTAAATTTTATTTCAGTATAATATATGTTTAATTATTTTCAGTATAATCTCAGAATTCTGATTTTATTTCTAAGAATTCTGACTCTAATCTCAGAATTCTGACAGCTAACAAATAAGGCTGGGTAAAAAAATCGATTCCTTTACATTTTTGCAACATCGATGTCTAGGGAAAGAGATCGATTAGTTTTATAGTGACGCGTGTGACGTTCACATTCAAATGAGCAGGAAAGATGCACTCAAGATTACTTCATGCCAGACAGCTGCAAATATAGACATTAACAAATTGAGGCTGACCAGCAAACACCCTGTAGTTGTTACAGACAACACTGCAAATATGGTTGGTGCAGTGAAGATAAAGCAGCTCATGCATTTCTGCTGTGTCCCCACTGTGTCACGTCTGCTTGCTTGAGTGAGGCTTCACTTTTTTCACTTTTCACAAACAAGTTTGCACTTTTGAGACAGTTTTGTTCACATCTAAAGTTTAAGCTGTCTGATTTAAAGGTTTGCACTTTTTGTTTAATATAACAGGAAAAAATACATGAGTATTTTATTTAAACACAGTTGAACCACTTTCATTATTGTAAAAACAGATCAAATCAAAATTAATCGATTTAGAACTGTATGAATCAAAGTTGAATCGATTCAGGACTTTATAGCATAGGGCTAAAATACCCAGCCCTACTAACGTACATGTTAGCATCAAGCCGTAGCCATGTCTGTTTTAGAGACTAAACTAGTTCTCTTGCTCTTCCATGAATTAAAATAGCATCACCGGGGACCCCTTGGGCACGTAAAAAGTTGCCTAATTCTGTCATTTTCCACCAATGTGTTACTGGCCTTCCCAAACAACTCACATCTTTGTCAGTGAAGCTGAGTGCTCCCAGATCTCTTCCTTCATGGTGCCCATCTACATTAAGATCAACAATTCTGAGATTAAAGTCAGGATTCTGAAAAGAAAAGTCAGAATTCTGAGATTTAATTCAGAATTCTGAGAAGAAAAGTCAGAATTCTGGGAAGAAAAGTCAGAATTGTGAGATTAAAGTCAGAATTGTGAGATTAAAGTCAGAATTGTGAGATTAAAGTCAGAATTCTGACGTTTTCTTCCAAATTAAACTGAAATGATATTTAAAAATCTGTTAACTTTTTTTTTTCCTCCATTTGCCCTAATCCTCTTCCGTACTCACGACCACAATATTCAACTTTGCTTTATTTTTCCAGTTTTTGGGACATTTCAGAAATTATTTCTTTCCGACATACGAAACGGAAGATCGACTGATGAGCTTATAAAAACACAATAAATCAGCAGTATAATGAATAAATATATTTTGGATGCAACTATAAAAAACAACAAATATAATTTAGGCTAATTTGTCAATAATAAGCTTCTGATGCCAAGCTAGCTAATTCGAACCAAGGGTGGAAATAAAACAAGAAGATCTGCGAATTAAAACATATTACTTTGTTTTAAAGAGGGAAATAAGACCACTATGATTTAATGACTGATTTAATACTCCAGAAGACGAATTATCGTCATATCACTCAAGCTAATGAGGAGGTTTCTCCTTAGCTCTATAGCCAACTAACGTTAACTGTCCTAGCTTCCTCTTTGCCAGTTTCAACGCGACCACCGTTAAAATGAGAACAATTTCCCCAAAACATAGAAGAAAAGGTCCCACATAAAGCTCTAACAAGAAACCATTCCGTTCACGCATTTGAATTCTGTTAGTTAAAAGCTATAATGCTGTCACTTTGAAATTACAAACCTTTCCACTTGCCTTTTTCCTTCAATTTCTTATCGTGTGTACGGGGTGGGAACCTTCCTCATCGTCGGCATTTGGGAGCGAACGTATTTAAATTTCTGTTAACATTATTTTTAAAGAAATATATTTTTAAGAAATAAAAAATATTAAATAAAAAACAACGATAAAGCGTAAAGCAAACGTGAAAGGCAAACAATTTTAACTCACCGAACACGCCTCCGTAAAATAAATTAAGTCCAGTTTCTAGTCGACTCCTTTTTGTTGTGACTCCAGGAAGAGACTCCATTCGATACTTGTTGTTATTATCCTGAGCTAACTACGAACCTGCCAGCTTATTGTGTGTTTAAACGTATTGTTTAAGGATGTCTTCAGACTTTGAGACCTACGAGCAGGACTTTGGAACTATTACCGCAGAAGTAACTAACAAAATTGGTAAAATTCCCAAACTAAGTGGAGGTAAGAGGACTCAATTTGTTAATGCGAATCTGTGAGCCGTTAGCTAAGGTATCAGTTAGCTATCAGGGCTCAGCTGAGAGGAGGAGGTAGAAGTGTTAGGTGAAGCTGACTTTCTGTTGTGACACAGTTATTAGATATTATTGAATAAGAAATTATTTGAATGTGTCATGTGGCTTGTTGAGTTACATACTTGATGTAACAGGTTGCCTGTGATGTATCTTTGATTTATTCAACCAACAGGGACTGTAAAGGGCTGCATTTTCTGACCAATAAGATTAAATCGATAAGATAAACACTTTAAAACTTTTGAAAAGCTGTAAAATACTGTCATATGCGGTGTTTGGAAAAGGCAAGATGTAAACTAATCTGTTGTGGCAATAATAAAACTTTCAGTCTACACAAGTTATTACCCCTTTACTCTGATATACAATAAACATTCCAGGGCAAAGTGTTGCCTCAATAAGAGCCCCTTTAATAATTATGATTTTAATAATTTGCTCTTTCAGTAACTTTCAATCAGTGAATTATTATAAAAGAATGCCCTTATATTTTGTGTTTAGATTAAATGTTGCTTAATTAAATGTCAATAGTTATTTTAGTCCAAAAAAAAATGTCCATTTTACACACACACACAAACACACACGCACGCACACACACACACACACACACACACACACACACACACACACACACACACACACACACACACACACACACGTATATATATATATATATATATATATATATATATATATATATATATATATATATATATATATATATATATATATATATAAACTTAACAGACCCTTAGGAGGTGATTTCAAAATTTTACTTTTTTTTTGTAAGAAAGCAGCCCAATGTAATAACAATTGCTCATCTTCAGACAATGGTATGATACTTATTGACTCTGCTAACAGTATGCCAGTTATACAGAATAAACATACCTGACTTATTTGCTTATATAGGCCTATGAGATAAGAAATATACACTTAAGCTAAAAAGTGTCCTTGGTAGGGAGGTAATGCTATTGAATGTACTGTGGACTTTAAGATTAGAACTCTGTTTAGGGATTTCAGGAATTTCTCAGCATTTTATTTAGGTTAACACAATTTAAACTCCTCAGTTTATGGGTTAAGACTGCGGATAACAACAATATTACAACTATGGAACTGTTGTATTGTTAAAAACAGAGGATTTTAATAAGCCTTTCAGAGTAATTAAGAAAAATTCTAAGCAGGTTATGTTTAAGACCTTTCTGTTTCTGTATAAGGCCTGAACAATATGGCCAAAATGTATACACTGACTTTCAATTACAGTTAAAGCTGCAGTAACTGTGTTTTTTAAACCCATGAATTATTTTCACATACGTGAGAAAAGTGCAGTGAAAATGTGAATCCCGCGCCCTTCAGACTCACCGAATCACCCTGAACACTGGCAGGGAAGTGAACAGTTGGGCTATCCCTCTGCCAGCAGAGAGCCAGCAAGGGTGAAGTTCCCACTTTCAGAAGGATTTCCAAATGGCTGTCAAGCCAAACCAACCATTTTTCCCATTTTTTTTCCTACCCAATAAAATAAAGCCATGCTGCGCTGGTGCGCAGACGCGGTTCAGAGGTGGATCAGAGTATCGTCTCTCAATCTGATAGTTTGGATATTGGTTGAGATCTGACCATCGGCTCCAACGTAGAGAAAAGATCAAAAGAAAAAGGACTATCAGCTAAGTTTCAAAAATATAAAAATGATACGGGTTTTTATAGATCCCACCCTTGTGTGTGTAATTTTATTATCCAACCCTAAATGTAATGGTTTCTAAATTATATACATATTTTGAGGAAAAACTAAATAAATATCAAGTTAAAATAATATTTTAGTTTGGGGAATACATGAGTTTCTGGGAGGGAGTCTCTGCTAAGACTACTGCCCCTGTGCACCAGTCCTGGATTAATAGATGGTGACATTTATGAGTAATTTATATAAAATAGAATAACAATATGGGTATTATCCCACAATGAGGAAATTTGGGCACAACAATGGCAAAAACTAATAAAAAAATCACAACAGATCTTACCATCAAATTTAAAGAATATTATTTAATTGCTAATGTGAAATGAGTATTTTAGCTATAAAGCAAAGAGAAAATAATTTGTAGAGAGGGAAATACTGTGCAATTACTAAAGGTTATTAATGTCAGAATGCAATATTATACTTAAATTGGAAGAATTAGAACAGTCTAATCAAAGTATGATTTAAAAAAATAACAGAAAATAAAATATGCAAAATAAATACTCCCTGAAAAATGTAAAAATCCATATTGGAATCTGAGAGACAATGATTCTAGATCAGATCAGGAAGCTGTGGAACCACGTGCGTGTTTAACACCACTTAAATTGAATTTCCTTGGAGCAGCAGAGATTATAAGGATAATTGATCATACCATTAAAAAATGTTTTTCTCCTTAAACTACTTGTTTTCTATGCAATAAAATACATTTGAGTTTTAAAAAAGATCACTATTAGGCTCTTGTCCAGAGATTTTTGGTGCTTTAACTGACAATGAATGATTATGAAACTTATGATACTAAGATGGATAAATTAGTTAATACATATGGATACATAAATACATTTGTATGAATCGATTTATCTGTGTTGTAAATAGACACATATTTCTCAGCTTTCTAGCAGAGTAGTTGGCAACTTATAAAGACAAATCTCAGCTATTTCCTATTTCTCCTAGAAACTGTGGGCCTGCAGTCTCCTGTTGATGCCTGTTTAGGGATTCCATGTTAAAAATATGCTCTCGCAATTTCAGTTTCTGCAGTGAGGCACCTAGATAGAGAGTAACAGAAGCAAAGCATGATGCAAAAAATGAACTGGAAATCACAATGTTTGTTTACAACCCATCAGAAACCGTAGAAAACTTCTCCCTACTTGTCTGCACTCGGCTCGTATGTTTGTGTTGAGATATAAATACTTAATATATATTTGGAAGTATATATTATTTACAGATGCTAAAGCAATTTAGGATTTTATATTTTAATTGTCAGATACCTTTTTGAGCTCCTGCTTCTCGATGTTTATATCCTGTCATTGGGAGTTTTCTTACTCGGAATGCATAATTAAAACCGAGTATACAACTATATCTACTGTGTTAATTGTTTGAATAAAAATTCAAATTTCATGCAGTGAAACAACTACTAAAACTGTTAAATTAGGGTTGGATAAAAATGGTCCACCCTTTTCTTCTTTATTTACTTTACTGTTTGCAAAACTCCTCATCTGTCTGTCATCAATTTGTAATTTCATTAAATTTCTATACATATTTCACATCCCTCCACCTTCAGCTGGAGAGAGACACACAATCTCACCTTTCTCTCCATCGCCTCTGGCTGTTTACTGTGTACGTTGTGAGGTTAGACACAGGTTTTAAAAATGTATTTGAGAACTGGCAAAAGGTAATCTTGGCTCATGGATCCATAATAAATGAAGATCTAGGGTTGGCTTTTTTGTTACAATATTCCAGTCCACAACTGATAAAGCGTAGGCTTTGCTTTTGAGTTAGAAGTTTGCTTGAGTCTCTGTTTAAATATTTGAAAATATTCTTAAAATTTGACAGATACTTCTAGTGATTATGGGTTTGTTTAATGAAAAATATATGTGGGGACATGAACAGCGCCTGTGAGTAGTTCAGAAGAAAAAGCTGGAGTTCTCTTTATTATGTGCAAGTCCTGTCTATTCCATTAATAGAAAACATAGTGATGTTAATGAGGATATTCAGTTTGTTTTCAAACATATTGTTTTTTTGTTGGCTTTCTTTAAGGTCTGACCCGTTTATTTACTCTTATTTTGACATTTCAATCTGACATTTTTATAATGTTAACTTGTAAAGTGTACAAATGGTTTGATACATGTATCAGACTGAACTGTTTCACTTATGTCCTCCTGATTGGGTAAACATGAAACATAAATCTAATAAGTTATTTCTTACAAATTAACTTCTATAATTCTTATGAATTGAAGTACTATTGCCTTCCAGGTACTATAACACAAACGAAATATACATATGCTGAAGGATTTTATATATATATAAAACTAAGAGAAAAAAACAATCAGATTAATCGTGATTAATCAGTTAATAAAATAATTGTCAAGTATTTTATTAAATAAGTGTTAACTGGAGCATAGAGACTCTAAAGAAGGCCATTAAGTATAAGAGCAACCCAAATAGAGCATAACATGATTTGTCTGTATTTCTGAGTCTTGAAGCGAAATCACTTTAGACATAAGTGTTTCTTTGTGTGCTTACAGATTGATCTACACATTTGCAAATCTTAGTACACATTTGTAGATCTGAATACAGATTTGTGGATTTTTTTTTTTTTTTTTTTACACATTTGCAAACTGGATTAGACACACAACTAGTTTTACACATTTGCAGATTGATGTACAGACACACAAAATCTGCTGACACATTTCCAGATTAATTTGCACATTTTCAAGTCCCGTATCACGCTCACAAATCGAGATACAGACACACTACTCTCCACAAGCATGTGCAAATCATTTTGCAACAATATTGCTCCCATAAATAGTAGTACATGTAATAAATAGTGACTGATAAAGGTGGCAGTTCTTACTTTTGTTGCAAAAAAAACAACAATAGAAATTTTGTATTTGTTTCAGTATTTGACCTGATATTTGCTGATCTGAGTTGATTAAAGGAACATCTATGGGGTATTCTGCCTGGTCTGTTGGTTACCATTGACTAATAATAAGGGATACAAAAAAACTCCATCAAACAAATAAAAAAAAATGCTGCTACATTGTAAATAACTGTTCAAATAGTTGTGGTCTGTCCTACTTTATTTCTTCTTCTTTTTTTAAACCTCTATTTTATTAAAAAATGTTAGATTTAATGAAGAAGTCCTTAAACACCAATTAACCCATCAGCCCATTCTATGGATGTTCTTTGAAGGGATTGTGGCACTAAGAGCTAATTTTACAGCAAAGACAAATTTAGCACCTGCAAACAAAGTGTGAGTGCTGCTGCCATAAATAACTGCTGGAACTTGAAGTCTTAATGAGTTTCTATGGGTAAAGCAGAAGAGCAGCCATGGGGTTAGGTCTGGAAACAGAGGGTTCATCACTCTGAGCGGGATTCATAGCTCTGGCAAGTGAGCAAAGCTGACACCTCCCATCCCTTTGAGTTGGCATGAGGCATCTCAGTGCTCCTCAGCAGAAACCAACAAAGGCCCCCACACACGCCTTAACTAAGAGACATCAAATGTTGGCTCGTCGTGTGGAGAGAATGTGTAAATATATCTTCAAATGTGTCCTCGTGTGTCGTTCCTTTCCGCTGTCTTTCTGTTGCTCTACCCCGTCTCTTCCCCTGTTGTGGGGGAGTTTGGCTGTTGTCACGAAGCTCTGTTCCTCCATCGGCTGATCAATAATGTTTTGTTTTTTTCTCTTTCAGAGGAGAAGACACAGCTGGTTCTAAATGTCGACAAACAGCTTGAAGAAGTCAGAGAGCTGGTATGTCTTTGATCAGTAATTTTCTCCCTTTCCTATTTTCTAAATTATAAATTAGTGGAAAGGGGGTGGGGGGGCTGAGGGGGTGGGGCAGTTTTCACAGCAACCAGACGACTGCACCTGTATCGTTCTGGTGCTGACATGACATGCAGACATGCACGCACTTCACATGGCGGAAAGGAGGCTTCCTCCTCACATGATGCTTCCCGGTAATCTGCTTTTAAGTGACACCCTCATGACACATTTCAAGCCATTATCTTGAGGTGGAAGACTTCATGTTGCTGTTTAGAAAAAAATAAATAAAAATAAGCAGTCACCCGACTGAGACAAATTGTTTTTGCAGTTGTCTCGTTATGGCATGGTGATTAGTTTCCTCCAAGTCTGCCGAGAAGAGATCAGTGTACCAATGCATCATATGTACTTCTCTCTCATCCGCTATGACACTGTTGGGCCCATTCATGTCATATTTTGATGCTGTATTTATTTACAGAGCTGCTCTACTTTGTTGCTGCTTTTATCACAGCTGAGTGACATGAGCAGGAGATATTTTGTTATTATTGTCAGCGCCGGGGCATAATAAGGAAGATAATGTTGCTGAAGCTGTATAGTATTACTTTAAAATTTTAAATGTAAAGTATTTTTAAAGCTCTTTCATGTCGCTCCTATAGAAGGCAATATGACCACCTCCACAACTGGATGGTCTTACTTTTTAATAGAGTACCATCCTCTTCTAATGGTGTTATGTTTATATGTTAGTTTGTTAGCAGTATTATTTTTAAAGTTGGGAATTTTTTACCATAAGATGACCTCATGCAAAGGAACAACCCGTTAAATTTTGGTAATGATCCCCATTTTGGATTTTTTTCTAAAGGATTTTCTAACATTGTGAGAAAGGGACATTTGGTGGGAACAAGCAGTTCTCCCTAAACCAGATGGTGGCAGCAGTAACTATTGACAGTTTCAGCACCGGATTCAAAGGCTACGTTCACACTGCAGGCCTTGATGCTCAATTCCGTTTTTTTTGTGAAATCTGTTTTTTGCATTGCCATTCACATTTCCAAGTATATGCGACTTGTATGTGATCTCCTGTGTGAACTGCAGTCATACGACATTTCCCTCATGCGCAGTAGAGGACGCAATGACATCACAGGCCAGCGTGCTCTGTGTTCACGGAAGTAAACATGGATGGTAGTGCCGGAGTGCATCTAGCGATCTTTCCCCAACCATAAAAACACAATCCTTTCTAGATGGTTAAACATAAATACTGCTCTCCGCATCATCGTCCGGCATGATTGTTGTTTTTCTTGCCACTTCTTCATAGCAAGACCCAGAATAGTGACCTTTGTCTGGTATTAATGGCATTCAGTTCGGAGGAATGCGACCTGGCCGTTCAGACGCAAGTCACATTTGAAAAGATCAGATTTGTATCGAATTCAGGACCACATAGCCAAGTGGCCTGGGTCGCATTGGAAAATATTGAATCTGTGTTGTTCAGACTGTCATGAAAAGATCAGATCTAGGGTCGCATATGGGCCAAAAAAAATCGGATTTGGGTCACTTCGGGCTGCAGTGTAAACAGAGCCAAAAAGTCCAGAAGTATTATCCTGTAGACAAAAATACAAAAAGCAACAGAAAATAGACTGTTGTTTCTTTGTTAGTAGGATTACTTGAAAAGTTTTGAATGTATTTTAATGATTTTTTTTTACCAAAGGTCCACCTCAAGGGACATATACTTTAAATTTGGTTATGATCCAGATTAGCTATTAGTGTCTTGGCACTCTTCGAGTGTTTTTCTAGTTTTTTTATTACAATTAAAACTTCTTGAGGTATAAAGCAGTATGAGATGGGTTGTTAAAACTGTAAGAAAATATCTAATATACTTAATAAAAAAGTTAAGGAATAAGTTTTCTTGCTCCCGATGAAATGGCACTGCATTTGACTAATCCAATTCGAATGTTTTCTATAAGATTTATTATTGATTTGAGTCGGATACAGACTTGATTGGCTACAGTCAGTGTCCTTTGGATTTTGTCATTTCAAGTTTCAAAATGTTCTAAAATAATAAAAGTTTTGAATGCCACTCAAAGCCCAATGACTGCAAGCATGTTTCACAACAGCTTTTTTTCTTTCTTATGATTGAGTGACGAATGTACATGCCAACTTTCAGCCACCTGAAAGTTGGCATAAGTGATGGGCTCGCCCTTAAAATGTCCAAGTAGGTCCCCAGAGCCTGGACAGGACAGAGCATGTCAGACATTGAAACAAATGCTATGAATGAGACCTCAGGTTTATGCACAACTTTTTTGACATATTATTAAAAAAAGAATCTGGCATTAGGGCTGGGTATTTTCGCCAAAGTCCTGAATCGATTCGATTTTGATTTATACAGTTCTAAATTGATTAATTTCGATTCGATCTGTTTTTACAATAATGAAGGTGGTTCAACTGTGTTTTAAAATACTCATGTATTTTATTTTTTCCTATCAAACCAAGTGCAAACTTGTAAATCAGACAGTTTAAACATGAGATGTGAACAAAACTGTCTAATAAGTGCAAACTTGTTTGTGAAAAGTGAAAAAGTGAAGCCTCACTCGACCGAGCAGACGTGTCACAGCAGGGACACAGCAGACATGCATGAGCTGCATTATCTTCACTGTACAAATCATATGTGCAGCGTTTTCTGTAACAACTACAGGGTGGTACTGGTCAGCCCCCATTTGTTAATGTCTTCAGTCAACCTATTTGCTATATTTGCTGCTATCTGGCTTGAAGTCATCTTGAGAGCTTTTTTCCTGCTTATTTGAATGTGAACGTCACCCGCGTCACTATAAAAGGAATCAATCTCATTTCCTAGACATCGATTTTGCAAAAAATGTAAAGGAATCGATCCAAAATCGATTAAATCGATTTTTTTACCCAGCCCTATCTGGTATTCTTTTTAATCTTCATGTAGCTTGATACTTTCTGTTGGTCAAAGTTTAATGCCATAAATTTGACAAGGAAAATTATCGGTTGTTCCTTTCTGCAAAACAGATTTAAGATCCTGCTGAAAACGTATTTTACAGTGTGAGAGGAAATGGAAATATTTTGCTTTGATTATCTTTATTTGTGGGTTCTAGCTTGAGCAGATGGACCTGGAGGTGCGTGAGATCCCCATCCAGAGCCGAGGCATGTACAACAGCAGGCTGAAGAGCTACAAACAGGAGATGGAGAAGCTTGAGAAAGACTTTGTAAGTACAGATCACATGCCATTCAGTTTGTACCCATTATGAACATGAATCCATAAAGGGTTAAAATACATTTAGTTCCTTTAGATGCACAACATGTTTAAATGGTCTAGAAAATGGTTAAAAAATAAATCATACATAATCCATGTTTAAGGTTGTAACCTTCAACCACCATCAGGTCAGTTTGCATCACAGTTTGCTGTTAAAACCCAAGCACCTTTTTTTATTCATACAATCGTTTTTACTCACACCAACAGCTGAGCACAGAAGCCCAGCGGTGCATCTACTGAGGTTAATTCTCAGTTTATACTAAAACTTGTAAGGACTGCCAACTGAGAGCAGCTTGTGTTGCAGCAGAGTCTGGCCTTATTTAGTAATTCATAACTCACTGTATGTTTGTGCTTTATTTCAAACCTCTGTCAAAGCTAATGAACAGTCCAGTCTATTGGGTCGTTTTCTTTGACTCTATACTTACCCAAAAAATGCTCAAGATGCTTCATCTCATTGAAAAACTTTTCTCCTTTTGCATTATGTGTTATTTTTGTAAGCTGTGGTGGATTTTTGTAATGTGCACATAATGCCCTATTACTTTCATTGTGTGATTTCTCTTGACACAACAGATCTCTTGCATAAAAATCTAGGTTTGTTGGAAACGAAATGGAACAAACTGGATATTAAACTTTGGTTTTCAAATTTTGGAAAAATGGTACAAGCAGACTTACCTAGAAAAGTTGTAACATGTTTCGAAATGTGTTGATTCCATTAATCCATATAAGATAATTTTTTTTCTATGGCACAGTTATTTACTATAAGGCAATCAATAGACAGTTGAGCATCTAGTTATATGAAATCATAGCAGACAGAATAAGAAAAACAAAACTATTTTAAAATGTTCTTTTTGAAAATAATGTGATTTATAGCTTTGATAATGTCAACTCTTTTCTTGGTTGGCAATACAGGATCCTACCTTTTTATTTTCTTGTTTTTTACTTTTTGATTATTATTGTTATAATTTTTTTGTATCTTCAGTATATAAAATCCAACATGCCTCGACATGCAACAGTCAGAGGCAAAATGCTTAAAATCACAAAACAGGATTTGAGACTTTAACTGCATTCTTAGAGGAAATCTGATCGAGAGGGTTTTATGAATTCTGTCCAGTTAGTCCAGAAATTTTTAAAATAGGACCTTTTGCATCCTGAGAGAGAAAGATAAACAACTTTACAATATCTATATATTTCATGGATTAGGATTCTGACGGTAGAGGATTCCACTTTCCACCACTTTTGTTTTAGTGGTGGCTTTGTTACTTTCAACAAGAAACATGTTCAATAATCTTTCATCTCCAACATTACAGTCAGACGTCGGTACACCACAGAGGTACATTGTTTTGTTTAGCTCCAAATATATTATTAATGTGTTCATATATTTCTATTTAGTAATTATTATAGCAGTATTATTGTGGAGGTCTTTGGCTTTGCTTGTTCCACACCGTCTCCAGCATTCCCCGCTACCTTGATGTCGTTTTTGAATTATGTTAATCCAGCCGAACTCTTTCCATATTTCTTGTCCATTTCAGTCTGCATATCTTGGACCAACTCCCCACTGAGATGATCACATTTCCCTCCTTTTCACATCTATTCTTTATGCTTTTAAGTGCTTTCATGTTTTCCTTTAATAACCTTGATATATCCTAGAAATATTGTGGATTTAACTTTGTTAAGTTTAGAAATAAATGCAAAAAAGTCCAAAATCAGATTTTCAATAACTTCTTTAAAACACAAGAACATGCCCCCTTCTGGTTGAAATAGTTATTGGGTGGTAATCTTTTTTAGTATCCTACAGTCATCTTTCGTATTAGGCGCGAACTCTGATCCGTAAGCTTCTCTAAATGGGTAATACTTTCTATAGCATCAACCCGTTTAGACAAGTCGTTTGTCAGAGCTACTCCTAAGCTGTTCTTCTTCTTGGTTGTCTGTATAATTCAAACTTAGTATCTGGATTTTGTTAATATTGTTTTATCTAGAAAGTGATCTATACGCCTTCAGTTCTGTCATAATCTGGATGAAGAAAGGGTGTAATAGTAATTTCAAAATGAATAAAGTAACTCTCTATACAGAGGTCTGTAATATTAACCCTATTGCCACTACTGGCTCTACTACCTTTTCCAGTGTTGGGAGAGCTTAGTGGTTTTGACCTATCCTAGAGTTTTAAGCAACCAAAAAACAAAGTTCACTGCTTACTCACCAAGTTCACCTTTGTCATTGCCCATATTAAGGCTGGTTACCATATTTTCTGTACTACAAGGCGCACCTGAATATTAGATAGAGAAGCTAGAATTAGGGGAATATCCTGTTTCGTTCATACATTATCCGCATCTGACTAAAGGCCGCAGGTGTTTCCATGTTTAATTACCATGTGTAAGAGATTTTCATGAGTAAGGGATTTTCAGGAAAAAGATGGCTGTTTGGGAACATATCCCATTTATTAAAAGATTGAAAAGCAAGCTACCGCTACATATTTGCATAACTTTTTACGTATAGGTACAACCACCGATCATTACAGGTATGAAAGATGTATTGTGCTATTTAAACAAGTAGCAAATGTACTGTATAAAAATAAAATAGAGCACACCAGAAAAAATAGATTCGGCCTACCTTTTGGGCTAAGGTGAAGCTTAGGCCTTAACAAGAAGCAAAGTTGGTCATTTATTGCATCACCATTGTCTTCCCCTGTCCACTAAAAGCTAAGCTCAGATCGGCCTCATTATCCACTCTCCACTTCTCTCCTTCGCTGTCTCTTTCAAAACCAAACTACACCTTGTTGTCGGTGTCAGAATCGAAAACCCTCTGAAGGGCCGTGGCGGGGCCCTCCTCTTCATCATGCAGCACTCCAGCCCTTCCAAATCCATTGGTGATCGTGGATGTTTGGACACTTCTCCACGCTGTCAGAACCCAATAGCAGACTTGGGCAAACTTGAAATCGCATGCGCCCAGTTTTGGTGAATGCTTTATCGCCGCTCGTCATCCACGCCTCCCACTGAATGCGTAGTGCTACTTTGAATTCACTCGACATCACACGGATGTCGAGTGACTTCAGTTGCTTCGTTGTGCCTCCAGGAATCACAGCTGGAATAAAGTTTGTGCTCTCAATGACTGGTTTCAGAGAATCTGTGATATGGGCCCTCATGCCGTCCAAAACGAGCAATGCTTTTTTTGGCGAAAGAATCCTCCAGGTCGCTTCCCATAGCAATCTTGCAGCCACTCCTTCATTACATATTCCATCATCCACCCTTTATTGTTGACTTTAACAGAGATGACCTTCAGGATCTCTTCTCTTGAACTGGTCATCCACTTAAAAATCACCATTGTTGGTGGTTTTAATCTGGATGCTGTGCAGCCCAGCACACGTACTCTCATGGCCAGTGGTTCTCACCCCGATGGTGAGCAAGACCCTAAACCCCACACTGCTCCACGGGCATCCCACGATGGCAGCCCACTGCTCCCCAAGGGGATGAGTTAAATGCAGTAATGTAATAATTTTTGGAAGTTTGCTATTGTTTCAGTCGGGAGGGAGTTACTGACACATCATCGTCCGGGCCTTGATGGACAGTCCTTTTCGTAATACTCATCTTGCTCTTGCTAATCTAGTGTCTTTTTTGTGCCAAATCGTACAGCACTTCGCCTGGCGGACGCACATTTGACCAACCATCTGCTGTGTTTGCCCTTTTGGAGGCAACCCTTACTATTGTTCTCCCAATTCCTTTATTCTACCTTTCCTGTCCTCTCACTGAGAAAACGGTATTTGTGCCACATAATCTTCTGAAAATGTAAAAATAAATCAGCTTTGTTTTTTTGGCTAGTAAACCTGGATATTAATACTTTCAATAATGGACATAATGTAGCTTTGTTCTGTCATAATAATGATGATGATGGTCATGGTGATGATTATTATCCGCATCATCTTTCAAAAATTTTAATTCAAAATTTTGAAACTATTAAAAAATTTAAGATTTTTTTTCCAAATGGAAAAATATACTGATAAAAAAAAGTAAAAATCTTGCTAAAATTTATGTGTAATTATTCATCTGCAATAATCTTTTTTATAGCTTTACAAACAGTGAACCTGGAGGATGCTTTTATTTCCAACTGCATAAAGTCGTTTAACTGTTAAAAATCCAAACTAAAGACATAAAGCATAATGAAACCCTGTTTAGATGAAGATATGTTGTATGAGTGGTTTATGAGCACACCATTATGAAAAAAAAGAACTGAGATCAAAGAGGGGGGTGTCTGAAACAAGAGAGGATGCTTTCCTCACCATGGACTCTTAATTGATGATTAAGATGATTATTCTTTGCCCTTTTTCCCCCTCACTTACCTTGACTAATCATCCAGAAATTATCACCTGCTGTGTGCGGATATTAGTGCTAAATTTTTATTACTCACAATATTTAGTTATTTTTCCCTTTGGAGCATATGCAGGAAATGATGCCAGCTTGTGATACCTTACATACATAAATAATACTTAATTCTCAGTTATCTTTGCTACTCATTCCACACCGTTTGTCATACCATAGCCTGCAATAATAAAATGCACAGCAGAAATAAGAGACAACATATTTCTTCTTGTTTTAGGGTAAACGGCCCCTTTTTACCTTAAGTGTCGTGGCCTTAGCAGCACAGATGTAAGCAAGAAACGCCCAACATATATACTTATGTCTTATTGGAACTAGTTTCATTGATGGAAGTGTTTAGAAGGCAAGAACCTCCTTTCCCTCAGATGTGCATCAGAAGGGCCAAATGCTATAGCCAGCCTTGGCCTCTTACTTCCTACAGGCCAAGGAAGGACATGCCACTCTGCTCAAGAGGTATCTGGTAGAAAAAAGGCAATCTCCTTTCTTTTTAATGTAAAAAGCTCTGCCTTTGTTGTGCTTTCCGCAGATATCAAGGCCTTTTCACTCCCTCACTACTCAATCTCGCTGCACTTCCCACCCCCCACTG